GGCCCCTGGATTAATTGAAACATCGAATGTGAGCCCAGGGGCCTGTTTCATTAAACACGTTTACCAAATAAGCCAGGCTTATTTCAGTTAACCTGATTTATCTTGAACCAAATGAACTGACAACATGTCAGACTAACTGAAATAAGCCTGGTTTATTTGGTAAACGAGTTTAATGAAACAGGCCCCAGCCCCTTTACCCAATGTACCAGGGTGCATCAAAGGTGGCCTGGAAAGTAGTTTCATGTGGACTCAACCCTATAGGGCCACCGGGTGGTGCATTGTTTAATGTTCGAAAGCAGGAAGAAAAAAACCATTTATCAGATTTGTCTCCTCTCTAGGGTTGCCAACTTCAGAAAAGGAAAATAAAGGACAATCGTGGTTTTTCATTGAAAAATAAGGGACAGAATAAGGGACACACACACACACAGGCCTATTATGTATATCTGATATAGATCTCTTTCATATAATTTTTTTATTTTTTATTTTATGGAGTCTTATCTCATCAAGGCTGTATTTATTTGATCAAAAATACAGTAATATTGTTCAATATTGGTTTCCTACCTTATTATACTTTAAAATATTATTTATTTCTGTGACGCAGCACTGAATTTTCAGCATCATTACTCCAGTCCTCAGTGTCACATGATCCTTCAGAAATCATTCTAATATGCTGATTTATTATCAGTGTTGAAACTTGTGCTGCTTAATATTTTTTTGGAACCTGTGTTCCATAAATAAAAAGAACAGAATTTATTCAAAATATAAATCTTTTCTAACAATCTCACTTTTTATCCATTTAACACATCCTTGCGGAATAAAATTATTCTAAAAGTTTCTTTAAAAAAATAAAAGAAATGTACTGACCCCAAACTTTTGAATAGTTGTGTATATTTAACACAGCATTTTTATTTTGAATAAATACTGTTCTTTTTAACATGTTATTTCTCAAAGAATCCTGAAAAAAATATCACTGGTCCCAAACAATAATAAGCAGCACAACTGTTTCCAACACTGATAATAAATCAGCATATTAGAATGATTTCTGAAGATCATGTGACACTGAAGACTGGAGTAATGATGCTGGAAATTCAGCTTTGCTTCCCAGGAATAAATTAAGTATAAATAGAAAACTGTTATGTTAAATTGCAATAATAGGCTATTTCACAAAATTACATTTTTTTTCTGTATTTTTGATCAAATAAATGCAGGCTTGATGAGCACAAGTAACTTCTTAAAAAAAAAAAAAAAACATTACAAATCTTACTGATCCCAAACTTTTGAACATAGGCTATAGGCAATCTACCTCATGAACAGTTAAATGTTCTCCCATTGTGCAATTCAAATATGTGCATTAACCTTATACTATTTCTCACCCTATGCTTCTTTGATGCCTTAAATACAGAACGATTCCTTATTATACAGATCGGTTGGCAACCCTAGTCCTCTCATTGACCTTCCGACGTAGTTAAGACTGCTAACTATAAAGCAAAAACATGCTTTTAAATATGGCACCTCCAATTCTGATATTATTCAGAGTGGGAGAAAACCGAATCTTTTTCACCAGTTTAGGTTCATGTATAACTCTGTTCAAAGGTTTGTGGTCAGTACGATTTTGATTTAGGCCTTTTTTATTTATTTGTTGAATAAAAATGATATTTTTAAGCATGGATTCATCAAAGTGGCAAGACTTTTATAATGTTAAAACGCTTTATATTTCAAATAAACAGTTCTTTTGAACTTTCGATTAATCAAAAGATTCCTGGAAAAATGTAAACGGTTTCCACAAAAATATTCAGCAACACAACGGTTTTCTTAAAAGTGAAAATAATAAGTGTTTCTTGAGCAGCCTATCAGAATGATTTTAGATTTGATTTTTAATTAATTTATTGGAAAATGACTTTTGATACAATTCTTATCGATATATATATTTTTTTTAAAAAGTGTCATTAATGTAAAATGCTAAATCAAATATTCTATTTAAAATTGTTTTGACAATTAGACGAATAATTGAATAACCAACGACAAAGCTGAATCCCAGTAAAAGTAATGAATGCTACAATTATTCTATGACTTATAAACAAGGATATGAATTTAATTGCCCACATGTCATAATATAGAATGTAACTCGAATGATTTCAATTAATTAGCCTATAGGTTTTAATGAAAAGTGAAGATGTCTGAAATACATAGAAGTCATGAAAATACTGAATATAATAACCCCTAATGACAACAAAGTATTACATTTAAGTAACAACATGCCAGTTGGATCCTTACGTGTGGATTCTGGGTTGGGGTGGGGCGTCTAATTTGATCCTTTTACATTAAAATAGAACTTTAAAAGCACAGATGTATCCGAGATCCCTCATTAACAAAATGTTTTTTTAAATCAAACAATGCAATCTGTAATTTTTTTCCCCCCAGAGAAACTAAATGATATAAATGAACCCCAAAACAGTTTCGACTGACTGAACCCCACAAATGTTGACATTCAGATGAAATGCCAAAATTAAAAATAGAGTAGATATTCATCAAAAGTTTTGAGATCAGATTTAAAAACTCTGAATAAGCCTAAAAAGCAGGTACAAGGTACATAACATTTAGGGATGCTTTTATTTGACATTTTCATACAACTCTTTACATTTTCCAATATGAGCAAATGCTTCTTCTCGAAATAGAAAGAAAGACAATAGATTTTGCTATCATGCTGAAATACAGATATAATTCCATTCACCACGCAAAACTCTCAAAACATATCTGATGAATCCAGGTCTGGAGTAGAATCACTTCTCATCAGTGACAGCCCATCAGATCTGGCATTGCAGGGGTTTCTTACCTCATCTGATCCTGAAATTCATTTGTATGAAAAGAAAACCATGCGATCTATAATGACTTGAATGAATGAGACCCTCTAGACATGTCCTGTATTTAAACTAGCCTACATCTGAGGCACACATGCAAAGTCTAGAAGGACGTGTGTTCTTCACACTGAACCAATTCACTTAATCAGACTTTATTTTAAGGCACGTTAAGAGATTTTGGGTGAACATATCAGCAAATAATTGCCTTCATGCCCTGATGCTGTCATTTTCCCATCTCTGCTTCAGTGTCAGTTGGAGGTTCCTGGTTCACTCTTATAAATATATTGTTTAAACTAATTTTGACCAATTAATTTCCATGACTTTTGACGCACTCCACAGAAATTTGATTGTGCTACATTCCATGATGTTTCAAGGGCTGGAATAGCATAAATCTATAAATGAATTAATTAGTAAATATAAATGTATATTCAAGTTTTCCATTATCATGGATATGTACACTGTACACTCTAAAAAATGCTGGGTTAAAGACAACCCAGTGCTGGGTAAAATAGGGACAGACCCAGCAATTGGGCTGTTTTGACCCAGCAGTTGGGTTACTACCCAGAAGGTTGGGTTAAACATTTAACCCAACCGCTGGGTCAAAACAGCCCAATTGCTGGGGTTGTCCCTATTTTACCCAGCACTGGGTTGTATTTAACCCAGCACTTTTTAGAGTGTATAGCTTAACTCTTACTGATTTACAACAAAGGCTCAAAAATGTACCTGCAGTTTAAAATGTGATGTCATTTCTGGGTGCTATAAATGTCTCTAGTTTCCATCATTGTATGAAAGATCTACAAATTCAAATGACATTTAACAAGCAACAATAACCACTTACCTGGAGAATTTCCCAGTGAGTGTTCCCTCTTACTGATTCTTGACCATTGGCATTCTCCAGGCCTACATTAGGAACCACTAGAAATCAAACCGATTACATTTGCGTTGAAGCAAAAGCAGAGACACAGAGGCACATACAAAGAAAGATTAACATGCATGTAGATCACATCAAAACTGAATGGTACCAGGGAAGTCGTTAGGAAAATATGGACTTCAACAACTACAAACTGAGATTTGACTGTCAGAACATCAAGAGAAAATAAGAAGGCTGTGCAAACTCCTCACACAGCGTGATGGAAATTCTTTGAGAGCGAAATGTTTTCTTTGAAAGTATAGTGAATGTGTTTTTTTTTTTAAATGGGAGACGGAAGTTCTTATGGTTCTTTTATTAGTTCTCTCATTTACCTTTTATGTTTTTAACCCTTGTGCTGTGCTGAAAATCCTTCTAATTTGGTGTTCCCAGTTAAAAATGACTGGCCTTTTAAAGATGGCTGGTAAAACTTTCATTATGCAATCTCATCACCAAAACTTGGATTTAATCTTTTTGTCAACTTGTTTCAATTAGAACAGGTTTTGCATTTCTTTTTGGGACTAATGGGTTGTGAGTGGTTGATCTGAGAAAAGCTGACAAAAAAAAAATCGACTTTAATCCAATATTTGGTCAAATATGGCATGACAAGAAATGTATACGCTATTTGTCGTCAGCCAGACTTTTTTGACCACCACAAGCGTAGCAAGGAGGGGGGGGGGGGAAAGACAAAGTGAGCAAAGTCAGTAAGTTTTAGTCCAATACAGTAACATTAGCTAATATTTTCTGTACATGTTCTAGCAAAAAACATACATCTAACAACAGTCACTATAGGAAATGGAATAACGTTCCAGCCATTTCTTATGATTAGGCAGTCTAGACTTTTGGGAAGTGATTAACAACAGAAAATGATTTGCCAAGATGAGTATAGCCAATCACGTTTAAGAAAATCATGTAACCCATGCTATTTTTTTTTAATATATTCTGCAAAGTAGTGTGCATTTTTTTTAGGAAGTCGCTTTGGTTCCATGACTAAGCGGACTCCAGGCAGCTTCTTCAATGAAGTATTACCTTTCATAGGTATTTACACTCCCTGTGGTGGAACGTAAATACCATTGCAGCTCAACAAGAATAATAGATTTTACATGCAAATAGTCATTGATACAGAAGAAATGCCCTGATTTCTTTTTCACTGCTCTAGAAAATTAGAAATCATTGGCACTATTGAGAGACTTACTAGCATACCCAGATTGGATCTGAAGACTTTTTGCCATTTCTTGTAAATGTGTTACAATATAGGAGGTGCATTAACCTCGACAGGCTTGGCCACATGAAAAAGTGTTTGATGGTCCTTAATTTAACATCATTTCAGGACCTACAAAGTGATGTTTATTTGGGTGTACAGCAATACACAATAAAGCGCTATATAAAATGCATCATTCATGTTTATCACAAAAGACCTGATCCTAATCCTGACAAGCCTCATCTAACAAAGAATAAAATGGACTAAAAGTAGGATTGATCTCAACTACCATCTGATCTGCATCTATTATTTTGTGAGAACGCATGTCTACACTGAAAGCGACTGGCATTGAGTTGACTTGAGACCGTCTAAACTAGCGGCGTTGACGCTGATGCCCCAACTACACCCTTATTTTCTACAGAAATCCAGTGGTTTCCAAATTGATTTAGCACGAGTTATGTTAGAAAAGCACTCAATTTACAAAGTGATGTTTATTTGGGTGTACAGCAATACACAATAAAGCACTATATAAAATGCATCATTCATGTTTATCACAAAAGACCTGATCCTAATCCTGACAAGCCTCATCTAACAAAGAATAAAATGGACTAAAAGTAGGATTGATCTCAACTACCATCTGATCTGCATCTATTATTTTGTGAGAACGCATGTCTACACTGAAAGCGACTGGCATTGAGTTGACTTGAGACTGTCTAAACTAGCGGCGTTGACGCTGATGCCCCAACTACACCCTTATTTTCTACAGAAATCCAGTGGTTTCCAAATTGATTTAGCACGAGTTATGTTAGAAAAGTACTCAATTTTACATTATGCTACTTTTGCTATAATTGCATCTACCTATGCATAGAAGCAAACCACAACTCAATTAACCACAACCACTAATTAAAGGTGCGTTCACAGTAGTAAAATTTCCATGAAAGTCAGTTGTCTATTATCCATAGTATAGATCAGGGGTGGCGAACGTCGGTCCTGGAGAGCCGCAGCCCTGCAGTTTTGCTTCAACCCTAACCCCTAATCAAACACACCTGAACAAGCTAATCAAGGTCTGAAGGGTTACTAGGAAGCTACAGGCAGGTGAGCTTTTATTAGGGTTGGAGCTGAGCTCTGCAGGACCGGAGTTTGCCACCCCTGGTATAGATGTATGAAGCACAGTTCACACAGAAGTCACTTTAAAGTAAGCAGCTTTCTGTTGGTCAACCCGATGTATTAAGAGTGGGGAAATCATTCGCATATCAAATGAAATTACTGTTTTTTGCAAGGCGATAATTAACAAAATAACAGTAAATGTTACTGCAACAACAGTTAAAATAAAGATTTACAGTGGAGATCAAAATTAGAGAACAACCTAAAATTTCCTACATTTCAAGGTCACTGCTCAGTCTAACCTATTTGAAGTTATCCTAACAGGAGTAGAATGGCAGTTTTTACGCATTATGAAGTGTAAGCAAGCAAGTGTATTCTGAAGCGCACAATAAAAAACTTAAATGAGATATTTGAAAAAGAACTGTTATTGCAGTTAATCTGGCACCTGGTGATAATTTCATTAATTGTTTGACAAACCCATTTTAACTGGCAGCATTACAGAGATTGCAAGATGGCAGGTCAAGTCAACTGAAACCCTGCAAAAGGAGTCGGTCCAGATGAAGGCCAAAGGGATGACCCTTTCAGCCACTGCAAGAGAAGCTGGTCATTCCAAATCTGTTATTTCTCAAATATTGCAGGTTTACAATGACATTAATTCAAAATCCCCCCAAAAGACTGATCGTCAGACAAACGCATAAAAGGACAGGATAATGCGGAGAATCTCAATGGGGAAATTGGTTCAACACTGCAGCTGCAATTGCTTGACAGTTCAGCTCTGAATAGGGCAAAGCTCTGTCTCAGCATGTTTAAGAGAAGTCGGACTGAAAGTGCACCCTGCAGTCACAAGGCCTCTCATCAGCAGAAAGAATTACAAGGCTAAGCTCACCTTTGCGGAGAAGCATGTTTTGTAGACAGAGGAGAACTGGTCGAAAGTTCACTTTAGAGATGTGAGCAAGTTTAATTTATTTGGGTCAGATGGGAAACATTTTGTTTGGCATCAATCTGAGGAAAGACTGATGCCCAAAGTGTGTGAAGAAGTCAGTGAAAGGTGGAGGAGGACCTGTCATGGTTTGAGGGATGTTTTCGGTAGCAGGAGTTGGGCCTCTTATACAGCTAATATGTAAGGTGAATGCAAATGTTTATCAGAGCCTCCTTCAGCAAAATGCAGTTCCTTCCCTGCAAGCATCTCTTAATCAACCTGCAATTTTCATGCAGAACAATGCCCCCATCACACAGCAAAACGGGGTAAAGCAGTTCCTTGAAGCTGAGAACATTGAAATAATGAAATGGCTGGGCCAGAGACCTGATCAAAACCCAACTGAAAATCTCTGGAAAATCCTTGGTCACAAAGTTATGGCTAAGAAACCCACTACAGTCATCGAACTGTGGAAGAGACTGGAAAAAGAGTGGACCAAGATCACACCAGCACAGTGTGAGAGACAAGTGATGTCCTGCGGCTGCAGATGTGCTGAAGTCATTCAAAGCAAGGGCCTCTACACATCCTACCAATTTCTGACAGCTGTAACCCTCCAAAATTTTAGTTGTAATCTCCTTTCGTGCTACAGTGGTTACTGTTCTCTAATTTTGATCAGTGTTTTCCACAATAAAAATTGCGGGGGAAAAATTGTTAAAAAATTATATTGTCAAACGTTAGTAGAACAGTGGTATACCTAAAGCTAATATTCCTACAAATTTTGAGCGATGAAGATTAACAATATTTCAGAAAATCAAAAATCAAGTATTTATAGCTTGTTCTGTAATTTTGATCTCCAATGTATGTCTGAACATACAGACACTATAATGACATTTTAAATAAAGTGAAAAAGATAGTGTCAGGAACAGACCTACAATATGTCAAAGGAGAAGAAACGGGACAATGTCAATGGAAAATACTGTAATGCTGTAGATACAGTAATGGACACTTTCGTTGTGTAGACCGCACCACTGAACATATTGCAACAAATCTACTTTTAATGAAACCCAAGTTTTACACATCCAGTGCAGACATGCGTAAGTTTCGAGCTTGCTCTCTAATAAATGTAATACTTTAAAACATACAATCACAATTTAAAAACTATTACCACTGTCTTCACAAATTAATCTAGATTCTAATTTCAAGGTCTGCTATTCAAAAATAACCCATTAATCCTAAAATGCTGTTTCCTCATCTCGTGACAAAGGACTAGGTTTCTTTCTAAAGCTAAATCATGATCCCTATCGTCCCTATTATGATCTGAGAGCTAACTGAATCACTTTTTTCTTGGAAACAAAGATTGTAAAATTTTGGCAATAATCCTGTTTGCAAGGTAAAGGAATAAGCAAACTAAACAGGCAATTGCACCTGAAGCCAATAAATGCCTGAACCTAAAGACTCTGAAAATAATAATACCTGGAGCTGAATTCCGATTTTGTCCACGTGAACGCTGGGCTTCCATTTGCTGCTCTTTCTTCAGCTTCATTCTCTGGTTAAACTGTTCAAGCTGCCCAGAGCACAATTATATAAGAACAAAACTCTGACAAAAATGTGCTAAAACAATCAGTAGATTTATCACAGGTTTAGAACATTACAGATGCACTCATAAGCTGAAGACAATAAGCTCACAGCAACATTGTCCTTGAACAGCTTCTGATATTTGCCACATCACAGAATTACAAAGTATGACATGAGTATAAATTTAAGTATAACATCGATATTAAGAACCACTGAACAAAAGATTCCACATGTGAGAAGTTTGAAGAAAGATGTCATACCCGTTTCTTCTGCTTAGCCTTGATGTCATCTTCTGTTATGGTAGCAACCTGTATGTTCTTGGCTTCCTCCGAAGTTTGTTTTTCTTTACTGTCCTCTTTAGGTTGTATGGTAACAAGTGTGCTGGCAGGCCCTGCTTTATCTGTTGGAACTGTTTGGACTGTTTCTATTGTTTTGAGGCACCTAACAGGCTTTGTTTTTATAGATTCATTTGGGATTTGACTAGCCGCTTGGGTACAGTAAGCAGAGGCCATTGTGGAGAAGTGGAGAGGGTTGGGGATAGGTGGAGGACCATAGGGATGTGGCATGGAGAGTGGAGGAGGTCCATAATATGGACTGGCCATTTGTGCAGTGTATGAACTATAAGCAGACATCATATGTGGCACCATAGCTTGGTGACCCATACCATAAGGGGATGGAGGTAAAGTGCCATAAGGGTACAGACCAGGGGCCACAGAACCCCAAACATGTTGATCACTACTTTGATATTGCGAATATTGTGAAGCTGAAAAGGTGGAAACGGTGGAATTTTGGGCATACTGGGAAGTGGCAGGCTGAACTGTGGTTACAATGGTCATTGGTTGGTATGAAGCTTTAGAAACTGCGGTCGGCTCGGGTTCGCAAGGATCTTGTTCGTTGGTTGCTGGTATCAAATTCACTACAGTTCTCTTAATGCTAGTTAGGTCTACATCTTCCACTTTGTGCTGGTCTTTGTATTTTACAGAGTCCTTATAACTCATGTAAACCTTACGATTTGAGGACTGAGCTGGGGATACAGATCGGAAGCCTTCAGAGTCTGAGGAATCTGCCCTACTACCACTACCCCTTTGCTCAGGTTGACTCACTGATTGCTCCCTTTTTTGTTCAAAGGAGTGAGTAGGCGCACTATGAGGTTTTTTTGTCTTACCATACAACCGCTCTTGCGTCCTGTCTGCTAATTTGCTAACCTCTGCTGTGTCTAGATGAAGTCCGATCGTTTGAAGAAGACTCTGAATTTTTTCAAAGTTCTCTGACTTTCTGTTTTTATCTTCACTGCTTTCTTCAGACTCCTGACGAACTAAGCTTTTGTCAAACTTACTATCAGGCATCTCTCTGTCCTCTATGTAAGAGTGCTGAACATTTGGACTGACATTCTGGTACTCAACAGATGGACTACGCTCCCGATATACACTGCGTTCATCTGTGTAATGTTTGTGTTCTGTTGCATACAAATCAGTGTCCTGTTCATACTGATTCCACTGCTCAGAGAACTGATTTGGATCCTCTTTATGGGCACTCCAGCTTTCTGACACCATCGGATACCCATATGGACTCTTCTTCTCAGCTTTTGCAGTAGGGTCTACACCATACTTCATTCCAACAAGCTGAGAAAAGCCACTACCATCCTGAACAGCTCTTTCATGAGGCAGGAGGTCATCTTTGCTGGGGTCATTCAAACGGGTTTCAGTCTTCACTCGTTCTTGGCCAGATTGTTTTCCTATTAGGGAAGGCTGGTCATAGCCATCCTCGTCTTTAAAAGGATCATATATCTCATCCATGAAGGGTATGTTTCTATCTAATTGTAGTTGAGTGGGTTTCTGGGCGTTTATTAAAGTCAGATCCTTTCTAGCCTCTTGAAATAAAGAGTTAACAACACTGGTGTCAGCCTTGTTGAGAGCACTAAGGAAGCGCTCCATTTGAGTTGAAAGATTGCGCTTTGGATCTGATGTTGAAGTCTGACTCGTAGAAGGGTTACTGCTCAGGGGATGGTCATGAGGCAGGCGAGATGATGCCCGGTGTTGGTCATTCTGAGAATTGCTACCTTTAGACAGACTGGAAGATTTCTGGTCATGCAAAGACCTTGAACTAGACGCCTTAGTGAGTGACTGTGGGATAACTGGCTTGTTAAAAGGGGGTGTTTCAGTCATTTGTGAGGCTGCTGAAGAAGCATTCATGATCCGGCTGAATAATCCCAACATACCGGGATGAATGGGTTGTGGATTTGAAGACCTGTTCAATGGCAAAGTTGCGGTCTTCTGAGAAGTCGGTTTTGTAAAGGAAGAATCATCCTGACTTGGTTGACCATATTCATCAACTGAGGTTTTGTCACTCTGCAAAGCAAAAATACAAATAATTTTTTCCCAAACTACTGTAGCAACAGCCTTTCTTAAAACATTTTGCACACTTTGGCTTCCAATAGCACTTTTCCACCATTGATCTGAAAGGTTACTGTTCATTAATTAGTTCTGTATCAATCCAGGCACGATGACATGGATTCAGTCTCCATTATGGTGTATGTGACCAATCGTGAGTTACTAAAGCATTTAAGAATTGTGTTGAATTTACATCAACACTGTTCTCCTGTAAAGAGTTCGATACACTAACCATGCTGAGAAGTGTGGTAAATGCTGCTGATACCATACTCGCCATGCTCAGAACTGTTCAGTCAGATGGTGGAAAAGTGTTTTTTATTTTTTTTTAAATAGTATTTTTATAGTCTTGCTGGGACATTCAGCTAAAACCAGCTTCAGGTGGTAACTGGTTCGATATGGTTTCTAGATGGTCCAAACTAGCCATTTTATGATCAGTCTGAAGAACTGTAGATGGATGGGTCAACCTTGGTCAAAATCAGACATGGTAGACCACCATAGCTGGTGGGGTTCATAATCGAGCCAACTACCAGCAACTAGTTAGCTACCATGTTTGAAAAACCAGTTTCACCACCTTAAGCAGTTTTTTCCATCAAGGAGAGCTAATCCATATAATATATTTTACAATGAACAAACCTGAGATGTTACAATCTCTGAGCGTTTCTTCAAAATTGACTTTTTCGGTTGAATATCAGGTTTTATCTCGGAGCTCCATAAGTTCCCTTTAGACATTACAAATTGGTCCTCTGTGTGCGAGTCAAACTTGTATTCTGCTTCCATTTCAGGCATTCCCCGAACAACTTTGACCTTCTGTTCCAAGGCAATTATCGCTCTTTTGCGTGCTATTGACTCACTGAGATCTTCTAATTGCTTCTTTTTTCTCACCAATTTTGGATCCTGAATCTGAGTTAGAGATGTCTTTTCAGACCCTGCAGTGGTCAAAGTCCTCTCAGCAATACATTTAAATGTTGAGTAGCCAGGCGTATTTGAGCCAAAAGCGCAAGTCTGATGGTGGTATCCTATTTGCATCTCTTGACTTTCACTCTTTACAAAAGGAGCAGCAGTTTCCTTGCTTGCAGACGCCTTAGAGAAGATAAGAGACAGTGAGATAGGCAAGAGAAAATAAAATATGTAACAAAACCTAGGAGCCCATGTAGAAACAAACCTGAGATTGAGAATCCGTGTGAGGTTCAGACTGTTTCTTCAAGATGGACTTCACTGGTTTTAGGTCAGGCATCCAAATGTTTTCACGATGCACATGCTCATAATCAAATGTTGTAACTCCACTTTTTCCATCCTCAGGTTCAATTTTCTTTGCATTGTGCTCCATAGCAACAATAGCTTTCTTACGTGCAATCAGCTCGTTGAGTTCCATTAGCTCTCTCCTTTTTCTCAATAGTTCATCCTCTACACTGTCAGGGCTTTTAACTTTCTTTTTGTCGCTTGGATCTTTAATTCTGCTTTGTTTCGCATAGTGATCATATTTGTCGGCAGGGCTGCGGCTTCTCTTCCTAGCACTCTGACTGCTCCTTTCTCTGCTTCTGCTGCGACTCCGTCGAGATCTCTCTTCGCGCTCTTTGCTCCGACTGCGGCTGCGTTTGATTCTGTATCGGCTGTCCCTCCTCTCACGGCTGGAACTTCTGTGCCTTCTGTAGTAGCTCCTACTTTTCTCTCGGCTCCGGCTCCTGCTGCGACTATATCTGCGTCGACCACTTTCTCTGCTTCTGCTCCGACTATACCGACGTCGACTATTCTCCCTGCTTCTGCTCCGTACTCTATCACCTTTAGTGCTTTCTTGTTTAATGACACTTTCCTTCTTCAGATCTTTTGCAGATAACATATATGGTAAAGTCTTGTCTTTTCCCTTGTTTGGCTTGCTAAAGATCAAGAAATTGTTAAAAAAAAAGTTTGATAAAAATATATTACATGTTGTAACATGTTTAACATTTTAAGACAACATAATACTTCCTCCATTAAAAAAAAAAAAGATCTGTGGTGAAAAAATAAATTAAAATACATTGTATGTGCATAACTCGTCCAATAAGTTTTAATTACAACAAAAATACATAACTATTTATAACAAGTGTGAATTTTTACAAATGACAAGCGTTTTAATCAAATGTTTGTACACATCATTCTTAATGGCAAAGACTCAATAAGATGTATTATTGAAGTAACACTATATATATTAAATTATAACTATCATCATTATATATTGATATTTACATTATGTTTCTATATTATCACATTGCAGGAGCTTGACAACATAAGATTTATTTTAGCAATATTTTTTTATTTAAACTAATAATTTAACTACTCTGTTTCTGCCAGCCATACTGTATTTTGTGTTCATGAAACCAAATTACTTAAAGGTGCTGTATGTATTTTTTTAACTAAAGCATAATGCAATAATGTGTATGGAAATATTTAGAAAACATGCTAAGTTCACATACTTGTTTCTTCAAATAACACTACAGCCAGTTATTATACTTTGAAATGTGCTTTCCGTGTCTGAATATCTATTTTTGTTTTGGTCTATGTGATTCCACTAACTGCCAATTCACCCAATATTATTTAGACACCCTAGGGTTGCCATTTGGTGGAGAACACCATAGAAGTCAGCAAACGAACTGGGTCAGGGATCACAGATTCTACCCGACCTAAAAAGCCTCAAAATCCAACTGACCAGAGGAATATTAAAAAGCAGATAAATCAACTCGTCAACTTACAGTGTAAGGCACATTGCCTAACATTGTTGGTTGAGCTTGTTCTATGTTGCACTTGGCAACCCACATGAGCATCGAGTTTTGAATTTAGACTGCAATACTCATTTCAACCGCTAATTAAACATGCCGCAAAAATACATACCGCACCTTTAAGTTTTACTTTCATTTTTTATTTTTGCTGCAAGTACTCCCAAAGGTGGATAAAATAAACTGCTGTACTCCATGTGAATAGTATTGGAGCACAATTTCGCATTGTGAGAAAACATCTCACTTCAACCTATGACAAAAAGACGACTTCGTGTTTTACTCTCAGACTTACTGTCAAACGTAATGATGCGCCAATGGAATTTTTGAAGAACATCTGCACATTTAACTAATAGACTGACCTACTTACTCATGATTTACTTACTCTACATCCACTGATTCACTGACTTTGTCCTCTGTTTTGACCACCTCCTTGATTTGGTCTTTCGGATCCTTCAGCAATTTGATAGTCATTTTCTTCTGCAGGCAGCCAAGCAAATGTGGCAGAATCCACATTTAGGGATCAACCAACCCATGGAAAATGACTAAATTGATCATTTATTGTATAAACTAGGGGTTGCACTGACTAGTTGATTGGTTCTAGTTATTACTAGTCATTATTCTGCAATGCAGGCATTGGATCTTTGCCAACTAGTAGTGGATCTTATGATTTTAATGCAACTTATTCCATACATAGAATAAGCCCAACTGTGTCCCAGTGTCGCTGCATATCATTCATTATCTGTCACGGATAAATATATTCATAATTAAGAAAAAGGTGTAAAAAAAAAAAAAACAAGTTAATAAAATCATATTACAGTCGACCCTAAATAAGCTAAGCAAGTGGGACATGTTTGACCACAGACTCTGCAGTGTATTGTGATTCAATATGTATTGACCCACCAACTAATTTTTGGACAACTAGCAAAAACAAGTATCTGTGCAAGCCCTAGTACATAAATCTTACAATGAAATAAAAGTTATGTACTGCACCTTCTCTTTTACTCCAAATGCCTCTAATTTTGGTGCAGATGTGAAGACGTTTTCATTCAGCCTTCTTATTCTAACAGCTTGTTTTCCCCCTTCAGCTGCTTGACTCTTCAAATAGTATAACAATTACATCAACAAAGAACTGGACTGACATACCAGCATCCAAAATGTACTCTCTACTTTTCCAGCAAACGCCAGAAACTTCAATAACACAATACAGGGCAGGAGAAATCTAGCAGTTACAAAAGGTTCAGGAACAAAATGTGTTACTGTAGTAACACTGAAATGATCATGATGTTTGCGGCTGAAAACTTACCGGTACTAACGTAAATTCAACCTTCTCAGACAAAGTGAGTTTGGTGTCCTCCATAACCTCACTTGTGTCAAAAAATAGCTGCGGGTCCTGTTGTGTCTTGATGAACCCAAAATTATCATCCAGCTTGACAACAAGCCCCTAATAGATGGAAGCCATCATAAGCAAAAATAAATTGTAAAGTTATTAATTGCCTTAAAGAACATATTTCGCCCAGTCCAGTTCCTGGAGACCTATCTCTCTGGAAACTTCTGCTCCAAACCTGATGAAACACAACTGAACCAGCTAATTGAGATCAAGAACCTGATAATTACAGACAGGTGTGTTTGATCAGGGTTGGATCTGAACTCTGCAGGTAGGTAGATCTCCAGGAACAGGCCTGTCTTAAAGATGAGCTGTAATAAAACACAGCACCTCACTGGTTCTGATTCTTCTACAAATGCTAAAGAGCAGGGATGCACCAAAACTTCAACCACAGAAAATGCAATAAACCGGTCAATTTTGGAAAAAAAAAACAGGCCAAAATCTTTGGCAAAAATATGAAAAGTGATTACATTCTAATATCAGAAACTCTGAAGAAAAATGCACAAGAAATGATCTATTACATTGTAAATAGTGTAAATGGCAGCATATTACTGGACAAAAATCTTGTCGTGTACCTGCTCTGATGTGTGAAATTCAAAATGGACAACAAATGTGCGTCAATCACCCTGAAGTCTATGGGAAATACCAATCAAACGTGACTGCAAATTCAGCTGATATTTCCTAGCTCCAAGCACACAGAATATTATGAAGAGATACACTTGATGTGAGTGCACACAAATATGCACTGGAGCATTTCAAAGCAACCATCTATAACTAAAAAGCTAATATCGTTGCAACTATGTAAGTTCAGTACCAAATTGCAGGACCTTTGACCACAATAGTCTCATGCATGAGATGTTCGTTTGTTTGTGTTTAATGCCATGCAAGCTTCTACGGCTATTTTCACGGCGAGAAAGTGTATGGCTGAATTATACATTATAAAACTGTATTTGGCTTAAATGTCCTAGCACACCGAAATTCTCATCCGTCATAAAAACAATTTGGATCGGGTTCCAACTTTCTGCATTTTTCACATCCATAGCAAGCATTTTTAGAGGTGTTTAGGCAATTCAGAGCCACGATGACGTTCTGTGCATGACGAATTTTGACCAATACGAAAAATGCCTGCGAAAATGTCAGACTTTGCAAGAACTTTAACTGTTAAAAATTTCTTCAAAAGAGTTAACCGAATAAAAAAAGTTCTCACAGAGTTAAAGCCAGCACAATTCAATAAAACAAGCTTCACGGATAAAGGGCTTTAGCAGAGAGAACTCATGCATGAGATATTAAAGCAAGCATAAATGACTCCGCGATCAGAGGGGTGTAACCCTGGCCAAATCTGCCTATGGACCTCAATCAGCAATGATGCCCTAATCGTCACCACTAGCACACGATTGCTGCGTTCCGTTTGTACTCAGAAGCTGGAAATTCAGAATTCCCAGTAGGAACTTTTAACTGGAACGTCCTCCCAAGTCAGAGTTCTGACTCAGAATCTCGGAGGAATCACAACTTCAGAATCAAATATGGCTGCTCATTGCATCAACAGAAGAGAAACAGAAGTAATATATTGTTTATTGGCACTTAATTTTGTCTGTGTCTCAAACTCAGTTGTGCACACAGTATTATCCAACCTGTATTTGTGGACATGATTCTATGACGTTATCTGTGAGAAATACCACTTTTTATTTGTTTTTAAATCGACTGGTATTGCCAACAATGGACACATCCGTCTTTGTTTTTCCTGGCTTCTCTACTGGAACTGAAACATCATTCCCAACTCCAACATCCAAGATATATAGAATGCAGCATATGGCTGCTGTCACATCATTCAGGTGGATGCAGTGCAATCATATTATCATTCTTCATTTTGGTGCATCCCCTACAAGCTTATTTATTTGCGATTAATGCCACTAATTTCCATATAACTAATGTCTTACTATTTCCTATGTAATCTGTCTGAGGAAGAACATCAATGCTGAAGACCTACTGCACAATGGTCTGTGAGGTCATGACATTCGTGTCCTACAGAACCACACTGACCAACAGTGCAAGTATGCAAATCTTGGGCTATTTTCATCTTCGAAAGCTAAATGCTTAATGCCAATTTAAGACCAAGATATGGTGCAGCTGCTATTCAACTACTACTACTACTGCCATTTCTAAACAACTACCTAAATGCCAAATCACCATGGATGACCACAACTGAAAAACACTTACTATCTTGCGCTGCTCTTCAGAGTCTGTCTGGAAAGTTTCTGGCAGGATCTCGACGTTGACGGCACACTCCTCCTTAGTTACACTGTTGGTACAAATGTTGAACTGGACCTTGTCATCAACCATCATGGTGGCTTTTGTGATCACGTCACCCGACCTAAAAGATAAGCGCTTCTCTGTGCCCTCCACTGTGGTGACCAGAAGACCCAAAGTGAGCTCTTGATTGTCCATCTGCTCAAAAGAAAAAAAATGCATAAATAATTGAAACATGACTGCTTTGAAAAATAAAGTTTTGAAAACTATAGTAAGTCTACCTCACACATCATAAATGGAAATACAAAACTATCACCTATTCCTGCAGTTTTGGGGATCTAAAAATTTTAAGTGTCATAAAACATCATTACAGTCTTACATTATTCTTTATATGATTCTAACTTCAGGACAAGTTTAAATTCTCAATAAGTAGTATGTATTCATTGCACTGTAATCGTTTATCAAGATTATTTTCAGGTTCTAATAAGAGACGTTTTGTGTTCAGGTTGCAGGAGGGTGAAAACCTACCACTTTTTCTTGACTTTGGCTTTTCTTTGGGGCGATTTTGGTAATGGTCCCCTCGTATATCTCACTGCTTACGTCCAAATCTTGAGAACCAGCTTCTGAAGTCACGGGCTTCCACTGCAGATAAAGACGTAAATGCACGTTTAGAAGAACGTGAAAATTTCCAAGAGCACAAAAGTTATCTTCAGGACAGGACAGCTGAGAATAAACAAAGCCCTAGTCTAAACTACCTTGTCTTTGACAGGGGTAGTGCCAGATGTATTGTCCTTTGCGCCGGTGATATTTTCATTGCCTTTTGCTTTTTGATTAAAGGTCTTAGGCAGCTTTTTGAGTCGGACGGCCTTCTTTGTCTCGTTCACCTTCAATACACAATATATGTATATTATGAAGCTTTGAATACAAAGAAAGATACCATGTGTAAAAAAAGAACCTAATCATTTTACTCACAGTCAAAATGGTTAGTTCCACGTCATCCGAGACATTCAGCTCTTCATCTGTTAAATTGTCAGTGGCAGAGGCCGTCAGGCTATCATGTTTCTCTGTCATGATGGTCACTGTTCCATCGCTCTTATTAATAATCACACCCTGGCGGCAAAATAGTAACAAATACACATTTCAGAATCTGCAAAATGTTAATCATTTTACAAAAATAAGAGGGATCATACGAAATACATGTTATTATTTATTTAGTACTGACCTGAATACAATATTTCACATAAAAGATGTTTACATATAGTCCACAAGAGAAAATAGTTGAATTTATAAAAATGACCCCATTCAAAAGTTTACATCCCCTTACATTGAGTTGTGTGGTTTTTTTTTGTTTTGTTTTGTTTAGTGACAGTTGTTCATGAGTCCCTTGTTTGTCCTGAACAGTTAAAACTGCCTGCTGTTCTTCAGAAAAATCCTTCAGGTCCCACAAATTCTTTGGTTTTTCAGCATTTTGTGGATTTGAACCCTTTCCAAGAATGACTATGATTTTGAGATCCATCTTTTCACACTGAGGACAACTGAGGGACTCATATGCATCTATTACAGAAGGTTCAAACACTCACTGATGCTCCAGAAGGAAAAACCATGCATTAAGAATATTGAATTTGAAGATCAGGGTAAATTTAACTTATTTTGTCTTCTGGTAAACATGTAAATATCTTCAGTAGCCTCTGAAGGGCAGTACTAAATGAAAAAATATGATATTTAGGCAAAATAAGAAAAATGTACACATCTCCATTCTGTTCAAACGTTTTACCCCCCTGTTCTTACTGCATGGACTTTCCTTCTGGAGCATCAGTGAGTGTTTGAACCTTCTGTAATAGATGCATATGAGTCCCTCAGTTGTCCTCAGTGTGAAAAGATGGATCTCAAAATCATACAGTCATTGTTGGAAAGAGTTCAAATACACAAAAATGCTGAAAAACCAAAGAATTTGTGGCACCTGAAGGATTTTTCTGAAGAACAGCAGGCAGTTTAACGGTTTAGGACAAACAAGGGACTCATGAACAACTATCACTAAACAAAACACACAGCTGTGGATCATTCAGATAAGAACGCAGTATTAAGAATCAATGTAAGGGGATGTAAACTTTTGAGCGGGGTCATTTTTAGAAATTCAACTATTTTCTTCTCTTGTGGACTAAGTAAACAACATCTTTTATGCAAAATATCTTATTCAGGTCAGTACTATATAAAGACAAACAAGGGACTCATGAACAACTATCACTAAACAAAACACACAGCTGTGGATCATTCAGATAAGAACGCAGTATTAAGAATCAATGTAAGGGGATGTAAACTTTTGAGCGGGGTCATTTTTAGAAATTCAACTATTTTCTTCTCTTGTGGACTATAAGTAAACAACATCTTTTATGCAAAATATCTTATTCAGGTCAGTACTAAATAAACAATAACATGCATTTTGTAGGATACCTCTTATTTTGGTAAAATAATTAAATAGAAATTCAACTATTTTCTTCTCTTGTGGACTATAAGTAAACAACATCTTTTATGCAAAATATCTTATTCAGGTCAGTACTATATAAACAATAACATGCATTTTGTAGGATACCTCTTATTTTGGTAAAATAATTCAACTTTTGACCTCAACTGTACATTTTTATGTTTCCACAAGAAAATATGAATGGTGTTTGTCTGTGTAAAAACCAGAGCCACGATACTAGGGTGTTCTGGATGGCAAGTTGCAACCAGAGTTTCTTTAATACTAAAAACTCAAAGTAATCACACATCTCTCACGGCAAAACAGTTTTAGCGCGAACTGCAATATTCCTCTAGTTATTTACCTATAGCGGCTACTGCTATAAGCGTTGCATTCACAGAATATACATCTCTTCTTTGCAAAATAAGGTGGATAAAACAACAACAAAAGGAAAAAGGGAAAACAAAAATCAACATGTAGAAAAATTATGAATTGTGAAACGTTTATCAAATTTTAAGCTTTAAAACTACGCTTCGCACACTAAAGCATTTTTTATATTATATATACTCTATACTCAAATTACATTGTACAACTCATTTCCTCTTGCTCTAAAATCTAAACTTCCTGTTCTCACTTTGCTCTCAGTTGCATTTGTTGCAGACTGCGTTATTGTCTGGTCTAGACAAAGATCAGGGTTCCTACACAGTTCCCATTTCAAAATTCCACACTTTTCCAGACTCAAATTTCCAAACCTCAGTAGATTTTCAGACCATATTTAACAAATAGTTCATACAGCATTATATTAGCTTTATATTTGGTATATAGTACAGTCATCTATAAAGAGAGTGGGGAAAATATTGATTTGATCCCCTGCTGATTTTGTACGTTTGCCCACTTACAAAAAAATTAAGCGTCTGTAATTTTATGGTAGGTTTATTTTAACGTAAAAAATCCAGAAAAAAACACATTATATAAAGGTTAGAAATTGATTTGCATTTCAGTGAGTGAAGTAAGTATTTGATCCCCAAGCAAAACATGACTTAGTACTTGGTGCAGAAACCCTTGTTGGCAAGCACAGAGGTAAGACTTTTTGTAGTTGGTCACCAGGTTTGCACACATCTCAGGAGGGATTTTGATCCAATTCTCGTTACAGATCCTCTCTGAATCCTTAAGGTTTCTTGGCTGTCGTTTGGCAACTCGAAGTTTCAGCTCCCTCCATAGATTTTCTATAGGATTGAGGTCTGGAGACTGGCTAGGCCACTCTGACCTTAATGTGCTTCTTCTTGAGCCACTCCTTTGTTTCCTTGGTGGTATGTTTTAGGTCATTGTCATGCTGGAAGACCCAACCATGACCCATCTTCAGTGTTACGGCTGAGGGAAAGAGGTTCTCGTCCAAGATTTTACAGTACATGGCCCCGTCCATAATGTTTCCATTGCGGCGTAGTGGGTTACCAATGTTTTGCTTGGTGACTGTGGTCCCAACTGCCTTAAGATGATTAACAAGCTCCTCCCGTGTAGTTCTGGGCTGATCCCTCACCTTTCTCATGATCACCCTTACCCCATGAAACAAGATCTTGCACGGAGCTCCAGACCGAGGCCAATTGATAGTTGTTTTGTATTACTTCCATTTCCGAATAATTGCACCAACAGTTGTCTCCTTCTCTCCAAGCTTCTTGCTGATGGTCTTGTAGCCCATTCCAGCCTCTGACAGCTCTTTGGTCTTGCCCATGGTGGTGGGAGAGGTTGGAATGGAAGATACAGATTGTGTGGACAGGTGTCTTATACGCCTAACGAGCTGACATTAGGAGTATCTTCTTAAAATGACAGGACTAATCCGTGTTCCACATGGGAACATAACCAGTCTGTTGGAGCCAGAATTCTTGCTGGTTGGTAGGGGATCAAATACTTATTTCACTCACTGAAATTCAAATCAATCTCTAACCTTTCTATAATGTGTTTTTTCTGGATTTTTTGGTTGGTATTCTGTCTCTATCCATTAAAATAAACCTACCATAAAAATGACAGACCCTTCATTTCTTTGTAAAATCAGCAGGGGATCAAATAAATACAGAGCACCTAAAAAAAAAACTATTTTGTGCCCTCGAGAAACTGCACATGGGAATTTTTTGCATGCTGACGCATTACAATTTCTAGTTGAGTCATTCTGTGTCAACTCAACCAGAGGTCCCCGGCTCAAATTTTTGAGCACTTACAAGCTCATGTGTTCAGGGTGAGCATAGGATTCATAAATCCTGCAAGGTGAGTGGAATATGATGTTACCACTTACCGTCTCCCTGACTTCTTTGGTGAGCTGAAAAGTGTCAGGTGTTTTTGGTTTGATGTTTGTGGCTCTTTGCTCCTTAGTAATAACATTTGTCAGCAACTGGAACTCCACACGATCATACAGCAGCAGAGTCACATTGGAGTCCACCTTTCCAAAGGTCAATTTAATGGGATCCTTAGAGATGATGGTTCTGATACAGCCAGGGTTAGCCTCCTTGACGTTGTCCTTAAGAGATACATATAGAAAGAGATTTTTGGATTTAGCTTAGTACAACTCCATATTACTACAGGCCATTTTTTCCATTGCATATTAAAGCTACAGACTGCATTATCTCCACCAAAGACTTATAAAGTAGAGACAAATTGATGTTTTTTAATCAATGCTGGACTCATTTAATACATTTTCCAACTTCCAAGCCTGACTTCTGAATATTTGGCATCTGCCCAATTAGAAAGGAAGTGTGGTGAGGCTGACAGATGTTTCTTTGATGAATAGAAGTTCAGAAGTTCAGCATTTATCTGAAATAGAAATCTTTTGTAACATTATAAATGTCTTTATCATCACTTTTGATCAATTTAAAGCATCCTTGCTAAATAAGTTAATTGTTAACTTATTATATTACATTACATTTACATTATATGACGGAGCTTTCGCCTTCTGACGCCGCATATTCTCTCAGACACGACGAGAGACGAATCTACTTCAACATATGTTGATAACAGCATATAGCTAACTGTTTTTATTTATTCCCTTAATAATTCTATTATTACATAGTACAGGGTTCCCACACCTTGGTTAACTTAAAATTCAAGAACCTTTCAAGTAGTGCTGAGCGGTATGACCAAAAATTGATATCACGGTATTTTCCAAAATTATACCGGTTTCACGGTACATGACGGTATTTTTTTTTTCATGCATGACCAGGTGTTAACCATATTTTCTACTGATTGAGAGAGGAAATACTGCAGTATATTGACTTAGAATGCCCTATTTTACTGTCATGACGAGTGAATATTGTCAAAAAAATACCACACTAAACACGACCCCTTTTAATACATGTTAACCAGGAGTCACTCTCTTATAATCGCGGCATCGTCTGATTAAATCAACATGCATATACTAGTGGTTCAACGGATAACAAATCTCACGGTTCGGATCACATTACGGTTTTTGACCCACTGATCGGATCATTTTTCGGATCAGCAAGAAAAGAAAAATATTTCAATTTAACTTGCTTTCCATTTATTACTTAAAGCGAAGTACTTCTTTGATACCACAGCAAATACTACTAGATTAACTAAGAAAGTTTAAACATGATTAAAGAGACAAGAGAACAGCCAGTAAAAATAAGAAATACACAAATTACAAGCAGATAAATATGTTACAAATTAAATAAGGTCGGTAGTATTCAAATACAGAAATGTAATAATTAGGGGAAATGACACTGCAGTGTGTACACTGTAGAAATTCACAGCTGTTTGATGATCATTAATGACAGCAGCATTATTTATAGGCTGCTGTCCCTTTAAGACCTGATAAACATGATTAAAGAGACAAGAGAACAGCCAGTAAAAATAAGAAATACACAAATTACAAGCAGATAAATGTTACAAATTAAATAAGGTCGGTAGTATTCAAATACAGAAATGTAATAATTAGGGGAAATGACACTGCAGTGTGTACACTGTAGAAATTAAATATAGATTTTTATCACAGCTGTTTGATGATCATTAATGACAGCAGCATTATTTATAGGCTGCTGTCCCTTTAAGACCTGATGCACGGATCCGATAATGATACACTTCACATCCTATTTCTTTCTCAGCTGTTTTCATTCACTTGAGACATAACTGACTGCGTTTACCTGAATGATTGTCGAGATGGGTATTTTGTCATAATTTTATGTGTATGTGTCTGTTCAGAGGATTCAGAAGAGGATTCAGTTCGGTGTTCGCGCCGATGTGTGCTTCATGTGTGCGTGCGAAGAGAACAGTGCGCGAGTAACTAATCGAGTTCCCTTTTGCCTTTTCTCTTTCTGGAATTGTTTAAAATTCGCTTGCTTGTGTAAATACGAACGAATGATAAACTTATACTCTATTATGGTTAAATTTAGCAATTAATCCGCGGATCACATGCGTGCCGTACCGTGGGCTTGGTCCGTACGGATCAACTACGATCCGTTTAACACAGCAGCAGTATTTATAGGCCGCTGTCCCTTTAAGACCTGATGCACGGATCCGATATAATGATACACATCACATCCGATTTCTTTCTCAGCTGTTTTCATTCACTTGAGACATAACTGACTGCGTTTACCTGAATTATTGTCAAGATGGGTATTTTGTCATAATTTTATGTGTATGTGTCTGTTCAGAGGATTCAGAAGAGCCGTCTGAAACGTGGGGGCTTGGTCCGTACGGATCAACTACGATCCGTTTAACCACTAGCCAACTGAATGCGCTGCTTTCAATTTTGCTTGGTTGGAACAGCAGCTACACTAATTATGTCTGTTTCTACGATTTACACAAGCTTCAGTCTGGATCCAGAACACCTGAGAAGAGATGATGCCAACCGGACCTCAGATGATGCCAACCCTGAAACAACATACAGAACTAACAAATGTTGCTATACGTTTGATTGCATCATATAATAATTGCTGTTAATAGTGTTCATCGTCTGTTTGATTACGTCTTTAATTGATTTTTCCGTACATTTCTGCCATATGTACATTAACTGACAGTCACCACTGATAAGCTACCACTAAATATTGTAGAAACTTAATTGGCTGTAAATTTGCTTTGCAATGATTTGTATGGTGAAAAGCGCTGTACAAATAAACTTGACTTGAACATTTAGCGCCCAAACTCTGGAATAACCTACCTAACATTGTTCTATAAGCTACTAATAAATATTGTAGAAACTTAATTTTCTGTAAAGTTGTTTTGCAACGATTTGTATCGTAAAAAGCGCTATACAATTAAACTTGAATTGAATAATATGCAGAAAACGTAAAAACAGGAAGGGGGCAAAAACCTTTTCACGGCACTGTATAGGATGCAAATAGTTGTAGATGTCGGGGTATTTCACGTTGGGCCGTTCAGTTGGATCATCTCTCAAACAGAAGGAAGGTTAGGAAAAGGGGCACTGACATAGACCAATACAATTTAGTTTCTTAATATATCTCCTCCCCGCAGATTCACATAGGGGATCATAATGGGCCTAAAAGCAAATGAGATATTAGTGGAAACAACTTCTATAATTAAAAAAAAAAGAAAATCTGTTTTAATACTTTTACACTCTGCGATGCAGCTTGATTATATTTTCCTCCTTCACCATTAGTCCAAATGACTTTTTTTTTTATTAATATAAAGTCATTCAATAGCTTTTTTCCCTCACACAAAAGACTTGAAATATAGCAAAAGAGTGATATGGATTAATTGTATGATGCATTGTCATATGAACCAGTCATTAATGAAACACAAACAAAAACATAATTGATGATGACTGACATTAATGTAAGAAACGGCAATTTGCAGTTCAGTAAGTTGTCAGATGTTGATTCAGTAGTCCTTCTGACGAAATCAGTGAGTTCACAGAATGAAGGATTCAATCAGCAAACTCTTGAATTGTAAGGTTTTTGGTTGATTCATTAAAAGAGCCCAGTGTCCTCCAAATTGTTTATGAGGGCGGCTTTTTGAGTGAATCAACATATAACAGGACCAGTGTTGTACACTGATATATAGCCTAGTATAAGTAATATGGAGTGGTGTAGTACAGTTTCCAAACTAAAGACCTATGTAGTCCGGTTCTTTTTAGTGAATCAAAACACTTATGAATCTCTCGTGTTTTTTCATTTTTAAACACGGTTTAATTACATATTTTGTTTGTTTTGGCGTTTTATTTAATTTACAATTACGGTTAGGGCTGCACGATTAATCGAATGCGATTGTCACGTGCATTTTGATAGTAATGCTGGTTCTGTAATCAGCAGGAAATCATCATCACGTGCTTTCAGATGGAGCAGAATTTATTACACATAGTAACGAAAAAGTTGCGGACGTTTAAACATCTGTTAGGCTACATTTACACTAGTTAGTGTTCGTTTAAAAAACGCATAGCTCAGACAGAATCGTCATTTCTATTTATTTTCCACTGATTTACTGATGAGCATTAGCAGCTTCCAGCGCTGTCTGCTTGTGTTCTCTCTTCCATGATTGCTGCTCTGACTCAGAGGTAATAACATATTTAATTTCAGCAAAATTACATGGCCAAAACACACATTAGATGGCAGGTCCGGATTTACCCATTTTCGTGACCTAGAAAAAAAAAATTTGAGCCCTCTTCCCTATTAATATAATAGACCTAATATTACCACCCAAGCAAACAAAACTATTTCTTAATCAGTGGAAACCGATACAGTGTTTACTATCAGAATAAGCGCTTGCGTTCAGTCAATAAAAATCGAATAGTTCTTAATTTGTTTGAGAACTGAGAAAGACCATACCATATAGTCGTGGCCACATAACCACCTCTGGGAGTGTATTTTTTCTCTAATAATTTTAACGGCCTAGAGTCCCAACCACACATCAAGACATTGTTCAGATCATTTGTTTCAAGACATTTGACATGTTTCCGTCCTGAAATCTCGTGTGGGTTGAACTAATTTTTTTATGCACCTCATCCCAAACCTTCCGTTGCAAATTCCAAAACGTCATTTTAGAGTTGATAACAGAGGCTTGAGCCATTGATATGCAGGCTAACGCAGTTATTAATGCAGTCTAATGCAGTTATTAGAGAGAGGGAGATTAAGTGCGTGTGAATACCTGCGTCTATGTGTCTCTCAGCAGCGTTCTGCAGCAGCGTCTACTAATAGTCATTCCGGTCCCCAAAAAGCCCAAAATCACTGGACTTTTATTCAATTTTTCTTTTTTTTATTATATTAGTTATATTACATCCCTACTGTGTTATTCCTATGTATGTCTGCACTATGTTTGTACTTTCTTCTGCACTGGAAGCTCCTTTCGTCAAGTCAAATTCCTTGTGTGTGTAAACATACTTGGTAATAAAGCTCTTCTGATTCTGATTGCATTATAAATATACTTTATTTGAATGAAAATTATAATAATAAGAACTCCGATAAACCGTATATTGCCGTAGTCGTGTGTTTATTAGTCACGTTGAATCAATGAAAGCAGTTGAATCTTCTGTTTATTCAGCTGTATTTGGAGTTTCAGCAAGAGAGCGCCCTCTGGCCTCCGGATGGAGATTTACTGTTGATCACAGAACCGTGCTTCACTGAAAGATACGCATGACAATCACAGCTTCTGTCGAATTGCGATCTCGATTTTATTTCAATTTATCATGCAGCCCTAGTTACGGTGTTTTAATAATATAAATATTATTAATTGCATTTCATCGCATCATGCCTCTACATTGTCCCAATTAAAAGTCGCCTTTTGCAAGAATTGTTACATTAATGATATACGTATTTTGTTTACATTTGAGATGGTCAGCATCCTGTTGAGTCAACAAGAATTGCATTTTGGAATAATTGTGGAACAAAACGAATCGTTAAGGAACCGTTAACAAGATTCGAACACTTGTCTTAAAGGGGTCATACGATGCTGCTAAAAAGAACATTATTTTGTGTATTTGGTGTAATGAAATGTGTTTATGCGGATTAAAGTTAAAAACACGTTATTTTCCACATACTGTACAATATTGTTTCTCCTTTATTCCCCTGCCTTTTTGAAACGCGTCGATTTTTACAAAGCTCATCGGTCTGAAAAGCGAGGTGTGCTGTGATTGGCCAGCTATCCAATGCGTTGTGATTGGCCGAATACCTCAAGCGTGTGACGGAAATGTTACACCCCTCACCATACTGTGCTGCCTTGTCCGGCTGGAACCACGAGACAAAAACATTAAAACCCATTACAAACGAGGCATTTGTTGCATCCAGTGGGGACATATTTACTGATTATAATGACTTACACTGTCTTTTTGCGCGTTGCATCGTGCCACGTAAACATAAAACCCTGTCTGCATTCTCTCGCTCTCTCTCGGACGCACTCGGTCCCTCTCGCGCACATTTTCGGTCTCTCTTGCTCTGCGTTCGCTTCACTTTTGCAAATAACATATCTGCACACTAATAAACATATCTGTACATTTATCTAAACAATTAAATTTTTTCCTATACTTCTATTTCTGTATATAGTACATTATTCAATTTTTCTTTTTTTTATTATATTAGTTATATTACATCCCTACTGTGTTATTCCTATGTATGTCTGCACTATGTTTGTACTTTCTTCTGCACTGGAAGCTCCTTTCGTCAAGTCAAATTCCTTGTGTGTGTAAACATACTTGGTAATAAAGCTCTTCTGATTCTGATTGCATTATAAATATACTTTATTTGAATGAAAATTATAATAATAAGAACTCCGATAAACCGTATATTGCCGTAGTCGTGTGTTTATTAGTCACGTTGAATCAATGAAAGCAGTTGAATCTTCTGTTTATTCAGCTGTATTTGGAGTTTCAGCAAGAGAGCGCCCTCTGGCCTCCGGATGGAGATTTACTGTTGATCACAGAACCGTGCTTCACTGAAAGATACGCATGACAATCACAGCTTCTGTCGAATTGCGATCTCGATTTTATTTCAATTTATCATGCAGCCCTAGTTACGGTGTTTTAATAATATAAATATTATTAATTGCATTTCATCGCATCATGCCTCTACATTGTCCCAATTAAAAGTCGCCTTTTGCAAGAATTGTTACATTAATGATATACGTATTTTGTTTACATTTGAGATGGTCAGCATCCTGTTGAGTCAACAAGAATTGCATTTTGGAATAATTGTGGAACAAAACGAATCGTTAAGGAACCGTTAACAAGATTCGAACACTTGTCTTAAAGGGGTCATACGATGCTGCTAAAAAGAACATTATTTTGTGTATTTGGTGTAATGAAATGTGTTTATGCGGATTAAAGTTAAAAACACGTTATTTTCCACATACTGTACAATATTGTTTCTCCTTTATTCCCCTGCCTTTTTGAAACGCGTCGATTTTTACAAAGCTCATCGGTCTGAAAAGCGAGGTGTGCTGTGATTGGCCAGCTATCCAATGCGTTGTGATTGGCCGAATACCTCAAGCGTGTGACGGAAATGTTACGCCCCTTACCATACTGTGATGCCCTGTCCGGCCGGAGCGACGAGACAAAAACATTAAAACCCATTATAAACGAGGCATTTGTTGCATCCAGTGGGGACATATTTACTGATTATAATGACTTACACTGTCTTTTTGCGCGTTGCATCGTGCCACGTAAACATAAAACCCTGTCTGCATTCTCTCGCTCTCTCTCGGACGCACTCGGTCCCTCTCGCGCACATTTTCGGTCTCTCTTGCTCTGCGTTCGCTTCACTTTTGTCCAGCCCGGCGCCTCATAGGTGAAAGCCGATTCGGCGATCCACAGCATATATACATCCAAATAGATGTATTCCCTCAGCGACCAGCACGGATCAGCTCCAGGCATGACGAAGCAGATATCGTCCTCTTTTGGAAGACCAAACAAAGTAGTTTCGCTTTCACAACGAAACACACAGCGTCTTCACGACATTGCTGCAGCGTCAACAATACTACAGTGAGAATAAAAGTTATGCCTTCTTTCTTTGCGTGAACATTTGGGCGGCGTTATGCAAATCTTCCCACATCATGACGTAGACATGTGGGGGCGTGTTAGAACGAGCCGTTTTAGGAGGGTGTGGTTGACTCTTAACTTTTATAAAGAATATCTCTTTGGATTTGAGACTTTAGTCTTTGCAACTTTACAGATCTTCTTTATGCACCAAGAGCTTGTAGCACTCCAAAGAGAAAGGACAAATTGAAATCGCATCATATGACCCCTTTAAGTTATTTCGAAGTGATTGACCAAATAATGGCTAACCAGACCAACACATTTCGAGACAAAAACATGTACTTACATGTGGATCCATCTGTGGCATGTAATGAGGGTCTCTTAAACCATATTGCTCCATTTGGTCGAATCCAGGGTTCATCCTGTGGAAACCTGGCCCACCTTCAAACTCAGCCGGGTGGAAGCTCGCGGGTCTTCCCCTAAACTCAGGCGGACAGAAGTCTGGAGGTCTGTCACAAAACTCCGGAGAACGGAAACGCGGTCCATATTCAAGCTCTGGATGGTAAAAGCGCGGTGCTGCTGGTCTGTTCCCAAACTCTGGATGATGGAAACCTGGATCAGGTCCATCAAAACGCGGGCGAAATTCATGTCTGTCTGGAATATCCATCGGGTGATAAGGCCCATCGTGCATAAACCCTCGATCTCCTTCCCTGTCGTCCATCATCCTCATCCTCATCCTGGGGGGCTGCGGCCCGAAGTCGCGATGGGGCGCAGGGAACCTCTGTCCAGGGGGGCCCATCGGGAAAACGGGAGCAGGACCGCGAGGAGGCGCTGGGGGCCGCATGCCTTGTTGTGGTCCAGGTCTTTGAGGTTGAGCTGCTCTCATTCCATTCTTGCGATTTTTCCCCATCTCCCAACAGCGTGCGCTTACTGGTCAGTAGCAAGTTGCTCAGCGAACAGCTAACGTTAGCAAACCGTGTCACGACCACGTTTGTTTGCGCACACAACCATGCAGATGCAGAACCGTTTACTTCACATCAGCGCAAACAATGGCATAATACAACTGTTGCAATACATTTGATTTGAGTTGTGAGCCACTCACTAGACGCAAACGGCCGCTTAAAGACAAAGGTCCACTGCACGAAAGCAAGAGCAACGCAAGCACTGAAGAGCCCCAAATGGCCAGCGGATATGACGCAACAGATTCAAAATAAGAGTGCACAAAAAGAAGCTGGTGCCTGATTTGTATGTCATGTTATTACAAACAAACAAATAGCATAAAATATAAAGCAGACTCTAATGTAGACAATAATATTTTAGAGAAAATAGATATGATTATTCACTAATACATAATTCACTAAGTAACATGGCAATAAAAAACATACATTTAAGCGTTTAATAAATATGAGGGCAGAGTGGCAGCTGCAATTGAATGAATACAAAATACTTCTCCAAAATAAGTATTTTTGGTATAAAAGAAAATAATTGTAAGTCTATAGGTACTTTAATATATATATATATATATATATATATATCTATATACCATGCTACTCAATGGTTAATGTTGGTCTTTTAGGAATACTAGCCAGTTATTTCATGGCATACTTTCAATCAGTTCCCCCAACACTGTACATATATATAAATAAAATGTGCTTTTAGCAATCAATCTCAATCTTCAATTAATCAATCAATCTTTACTTTATTTGTCCCTTAATGAGGGAAATTAGTTTTGGGCAATACAGGTAAAACTGCACAACAAAGTACCAAAATCAATAATAACAATCACACAGTTGTGTCCCCTGAATTAGAGTCGAACAGCCTTGTAGCCAAAGGAACAAAAGAGTTTTTATAACGGTTATATCTAGACATTGTAGTACGAAAACGTCGACCAGATGGAAGTGCTGAAGCAAGAATTTGGATTCCTTATTAGCAATCCAATCCTTATTCCTTACAGTACAGAACGGTAACTGTAATATCTTCATGCATAAGAGAGGAGACTGGTACACGTTTAAACACGGAGTGAACTTTCATAATCTTACATTGTCATATTTTTTCCGCTGAGAATTTAATGGTGACAATAATTAATCTTGTGTAAGCTCAGCACAAACTGTATTGATATCTTATTCCGTAACAATAAAGCTTGTGCGATAAAGCTTGTTCTGTTTTGAATCTGCAGAGCTACCTGTTCTCTCAGGTAGAGTTCATTAAGAGCCACACCCTTCTAATTTGAGGCCAATATAAATCAAGATCAGGTGCGTGGTCTGATGTAGTTGTGGAGGTGAGCTGCTCTTGGAAAGGTTACAGACTTTCGGTGATAAGGGTGGGGTGAAAGTGTCTTTTATAATTCCAAGGTTCTTAATTAGTTCCTGCTTGCTGTGATACTTGAGTAAAATGGTGAGATTACTGATGGTTATTTTCACTGTGTTATTAGTGCTGCCAATTTAGCACTTCCCTGCAGTTGACTTTTGTGTTTTGCCTCGGTCAAACCAGAGGGAGTGTATTTCCATACATATTGGTCAAGCAGGTATCCAGATGGGTAACTCCTGCTGGGAGCTATATTGTTTGGAGCACCGCTTCCAGCCAGATGGAACTATTGTTGCTGAGGGCAGCTCTTTGTCTGACTCCTCTTTTGGCACTTTCTTCAGTGAAACTGGTGCTGGGAAGTACGTTCCTCGTGCAGTGTTCATTGATCTAGAGCCGACAGTTGTTGGTAAGACTGAACACCATTCAGGCTTCTTAATTATTAGAGAATCTTGTCCCTGGCTACTTTCAGTGTAGCTTTTGTTCTTATTTTGTTTGACCTGCAGATGAGATCCGTAATGGACATTATCGACAACTGTACCACCCAGAGCAGCTCATCAGTGGCAAGGAGGACGCTGCCAATAATTATGCTCGTGGTCACTATACCATTGGCAAAGAGATTGTAGACTCGGTGCTCGACCGGATGCGCAAAATGGTGAGTTTACACTTTTTAAAACTGTGGTCTCAAACTCAATTCCTGGAGGGCCACCACTCTGTAGAGTTTAGCTTCAACTCCCACCTGTTCATAAGTTCCTAGTGATCCTGAAGACCTTGATTGGCTGGATCAGGTGTGATTTGATTGTTTGGAACACAACTGTGCAGAGCTGTGGCCCTCCAGGAACTGAGTTTGAGAACACCGCTTTAAAATAAAGTTCTTTATTGGCACCTACAGTTCAATGAAGAACCTTTTAATCCTGGGGTTCTCAACTCTGGCCCTCGAGGTCCCCTTTCCTGCAGATTTTAGTTCCAACCCTAGCCAAATCCACCTGAACAAGTTAGGTCTTCAGGATCACTATAATGTTTTAGGCAGGGACGTCTGAGCAAGGTTTGAGTTCAACTCCGCAGGAACGGTGACCTTGAGGGCCTTATTTGAAAAAGTAACTCGGATATTTTCTTGTAAATTAAAAAGTAATGCGTTACTTTACTAGTTACTTGAAAAAAGTAATCTGATTACGTAACTCGCGTTACTTGTAATTCGTTACCCCCAACACTGTACATATATATAAATAAAATGTGCTTTTAGCAATCAATCTCAATCTTCAATTAATCAATCAATCTTTACTTTATTTGTCCCTTAATGAGGGAAATTAGTTTTGGGCAATACAGGTAAAACTGCACAACAAAGTACCAAAATCAATAATAACAATCACACAGTTGTGTCCCCTGAATTAGAGTCGAACAGCTTATTTTGTTTGACCTGCAGATGAGATCCGTAATGGACATTATCGACAACTGTACCACCCAGAGCAGCTCATCAGTGGCAAGGAGGACGCTGCCAATAATTATGCTCGTGGTCACTATACCATTGGCAAAGAGATTGTAGACTCGGTGCTCGACCGGATGCGCAAAATGGTGAGTTTACACTTTTTAAAACTGTGGTCTCAAACTCAATTCCTGGAGGGCCACCACTCTGTAGAGTTTAGCTTCAACTCCCACCTGTTCATAAGTTCCTAGTGATCCTGAAGACCTTGATTGGCTGGATCAGGTGTGATTTGATTGTTTGGAACACAACTGTGCAGAGCTGTGGCCCTCCAGGAACTGAGTTTGAGAACACCGCTTTAAAATAAAGTTCTTTATTGGCACCTACAGTTCAATGAAGAACCTTTTAATCCTGGGGTTCTCAACTCTGGCCCTCGAGGTCCCCTTTCCTGCAGATTTTAGTTCCAACCCTAGCCAAATCCACCTGAACAAGTTAGGTCTTCAGGATCACTATAATGTTTTAGGCAGGGACGTCTGAGCAAGGTTTGAGTTCAACTCCGCAGGAACGGTGACCTTGAGGGCCAGAGTTGAGAACCTCTTCTAATCTTTTAACCTCCGTTGTGCAAAAGGCTCTTTTATAGTGGAAACAGGTTCTTTAGATCCGTTCACATTTAAGAAAAAAATGGTTAAGAACTGTTCTTCAGGTGACCCCAAAATGGGTATTGTACTTTCCTGTGAAAACACCCTTTTGGAAACTTTATTTTTAAGTGTTGACACTTTAGAGTCTTGAATTCCTGGTCTCATCTGAATGCTCTCCCATTTCCCCTTGACTTCTCTTTAGGCGGACCAGTGCACTGGTCTGCAGGGGTTTCTGATCTTTCACAGCTTTGGTGGCGGAACAGGCTCTGGCTTCACATCTCTACTGATGGAGCGACTGTCTGTCGACTACGGTAAAAAGTCAAAGTTGGAATTCTCTGTATATCCTGCCCCACAAGTCAGCACTGCTGTGGTGGAGCCCTACAACTCGATCCTTACAACCCACACTACTCTGGAGCACTCCGACTGCTCCTTCATGGTGGATAACGAAGCAATCTTTGACATCTGCAAGCGAAACCTCGATATAGAACGTCCCTCCTACACCAACCTGAACAGGCTCATCGCCCAGATCGTGTCCTCCATTACAGCGTCACTGCGCTTCGATGGAGCCCTAAATGTGGACCTTACAGAGTTCCAGACCAACCTAGTCCCATACCCACGCATCCACTTCCCGCTGGTCACCTACTCTCCCATAATTTCCGCCGAGAAGGCCTACCACGAGCAGCTCTCCGTCCCAGAGATCACCAACGCATGCTTTGAGCCGGCGAACCAGATGGTGAAGTGTGACCCTCGCCGTGGAAAATACATGGCCTGCTGTTTGCTGTACCGTGGTGATGTGGTTCCGAAAGATGTGAATGCTGCCATAGCCAACATCAAGACCCGCCGCTCCATCCAGTTCGTAGACTGGTGTCCCACGGGGTTCAAGGTTGGAATCAACTACCAGCCGCCCACCGTTGTCCCAGGAGGGGATCTGGCCAAGGTGCAGAGGGCTGTCTGCATGCTGAGTAACACCACTGCTATTGCAGAGGCGTGGGGCCGCCTGGACCACAAGTTTGACCTGATGTATGCAAAGAGGGCATTTGTGCACTGGTACGTGGGTGAAGGGATGGAGGAAGGGGAGTTTTCAGAGGCGCGAGAGGACATGGCTGCTCTGGAGAAAGACTATGAGGAGGTTGGTGCCGATACCACTGAGGATGGTGGGGAGGATGAAGAGGAGTATTAAGTATGCAAAATGTTTGTATATGGAGTAAATAAACTTGAGCATCTGAATCCTTTTAGTTTGGTTCTTTGACTGACTAGTTTTGCCTTCATTACCTTGATCGGATGTGGTTTTGGTTTGGGGAGCTTAATTGAGCCACGGATTGGTGTGGGGTATTTTAATGTCCAATTAAATGCCTAGAAGTAACTGCCACATGCTAGTGGTTTGAACCGCTTTGTGACGTGTGAACCATTCCAAAAAAATGGTTCTGGTTCATTTACTTTAAGTTGCTGGTAGAGAAACCAGATATTTGGATGAGTTGTCATCTTTTAGGGTTTCTAAATGAAGTCTAAATTGTGTTTTCTGTGGCTCTGCAGCTGAATGTGGTAATAAGCGGTCACACCTTGTAATTTAAATAAATGTATTCTGGAGAAGGATGTGTAAAATGCTAATCGGAGAGAACCAACTACAGCCCATTATGTGGTATCATTAGTTTTAGGGTCCATCCTGAAACATTCAGTAGTTCCAGAGATGAGTAGCTAAAAACAACCAAGTCTTTTAATCGTTTTCAGTCTTTTCAGCCCATACTTGGTAAATGCTTCATATCAAAAGTTTAGATATTGCTGGATGTGCGCTGCTAGAAATGGTTTTTTTTTTTTTTTTTTTTTTTTTTCCTTCCTCCTATACTTGTTTGAAATGCACATTTCTTCAGGTCTTCATTGCCACAGTAAACTGACTTCATATTATATTTGAGCATTGTTGACTTTGGATGCAACTCTAAAGCAACCTCGTTTCATAAAAAGTGTGTAGTCTGGGATGTCCCCTTTAAAAATTATTCTTTTTCTCTTCCCCTCTTAGTACAATTGAGGTCTCTAGGCATCTGTAAAGAAATTTAGCCTCAAATGCCAAAGTTAAAAAAAACTAACCAACCTTTCACCTAGTGTGAACTGAGTGGTGAATTCTCAATATAAAGGTGTTTTTGTTTTTTGCCATTGCTTTTCAGTTGCATTACAGAACTCCTCATGTAGCCTAAATAGAATAAAACAAATTCATAAGCAATGTAGGTAAGCTATTTAGTTTCGCAAATATTGGAATAGTGAACAAACCTCTACAGAAATCTTATAAATGGTTTGAAGTGTGATCTTAAGAGCGAATGTGAGGTGAAAATTACTCATTCGGAGTAACCAAGTGGACAACAGAAAATTACTCCAATCAGACTACAACCCCAACAAACAATGCGCCTGTGGACCATCAGCCCATTGTGATGGTCAGATGTTAAATAAAGATTTAGAAAACGTCTTGATTTTCATTATATAGAATCTATGTAAAATTGTATAAGATGTTTGTACACAGCAGCAGTGTTGGGGGTAACTCATTACAAGTAACGCGAGTTACGTAATCAGATTACTTTAAGTAACTAGTAAAGTAACGCATTACTTTTTAACTTACAAGAAAATATCTGAGTTACTTTTTCAAATAAGTAACAAGTTACTTTTTTTCTTTTTTCCAATTTATTGACTGTGTTGAGAGAAATCAGAAGATGTTACTGTAGTTCCAAAATAAATATGAATATGCATTAATTCATCTCACTCACAAAAAACACAGATTCAGTTTTCCTCAAAATGAATAAAAATAATGCAACTCAGAATATGACGCAAACCTGCAATAATTAAATGTTAAACAACACAAATATGCTTTATGTATTTAATCCCATTCTATTAACCAATGTCTTTGCTTCTGACCTTTGATGATCCAATTCAACCGTACTAATAAACACAAGTTACTCTAGACAAACATTTGTGTGTCTTTGTTTATTGCTGAAGTGTGTTGAAATGTCTTCTTCTGCTTTCTACTGTACGGACGTAAATGTACTTTCCCTTCAGCCTGAGGCTTATTCATTAAGACTCGTCCCAGCTACTCCCTGGTGTGACTGGAGGAGCAGCTTCATAGTCATCAGAAATGAAAGGGTATGTTTGGAAAATTGCCTTTGGTGATTGAGGTGAATCATTTTTAATACCCAGCAAGTATCAAACAAACAGATGAAAAGAAGCCTGCAAATAATAACAAATGTTTTGGCTTGTTTGAAGTGCACGGTTTGATTACCTGTGATTGTATTTTTTCTTTTCTCCTGTACCTCTCCCTCGTTTTTTTTTTTTTTTTTTTTTTTTTTTTTTTCCTTCCTCCTATACTTGTTTGAAATGCACATTTCTTCAGGTCTTCATTGCCACAGTAAACTGACTTCATATTATATTTGAGCATTGTTGACTTTGGATGCAACTCTAAAGCAACCTCGTTTCATAAAGTGTGCGTAGTCTGGGATGTCCCCTTTAAAAATTATTCTTTTTCTCTTCCCCTCTTAGTACAATTGAGGTCTCTAGGCATCTGTATAGCCTCAAAGCCTCAAATGCCAAAGTTAAAAAAAACTAACCAACCTTTCACCTAGTGTGAACTGAGTGGTGAATTCTCGGTGTTTTTGTGTTTTTGTTTTTTGCCATTGCTTTTCAGTTGCATTACAGAACTCCTCATGTAGCCTAAATAGAATAAAACAAATTCATAAGCAATGTAGGTAAGCTATTTAGTTTCGCAAATATTGGAATAGTGAACAAACCTCTACAGAAATCTTATAAATGGTTTGAAGTGTGATCTTAAGAGCGAATGTGAGGTGAAAATTACTCATTCGGAGTAACCAAGTGGACAACAGAAAATTACTCCAATCAGACTACAACCCCAACAAACAATGCGCCTGTGGACCATCAGCCCATTGTGATGGTCAGATGTTAAATAAAGATTTAGAAAACGTCTTGATTTTCATTATATAGAATCTATGTAAAATTGTATAAGATGTTTGTACACAGCAGCAGTGTTGGGGGTAACTCATTACAAGTAACGCGAGTTACGTAATCAGATTACTTTAAGTAACTAGTAAAGTAACGCATTACTTTTTAACTTACAAGAAAATATCTGAGTTACTTTTTCAAATAAGTAACAAGTTACTTTTTTTCTTTTTTCCAATTTATTGACTGACAGCTCTCCTGTCCCCATGTTGAGAGAAATCAGATGTTACTGTAGTTCAAAATAAATATGAATATGCATAAATTCATCTCACTCACACAAAAAACACTGATTCAGTATTCCTCAAAATGAATAAGGATAATGCAACTCAGAATATGACGCAAACCTGCAATAATTAAATGTTAAACAACACAAATATGCTTTATGTATTTAATCCCATTCTATTAACCAATGTCTTTGCTTCTGACCTTTGATGATCCAATTCAACCGTACTAATAAACACAAGTTACTCTAGACAAACATTTGTGTGTCTTTGTTTATTGCTGAAGTGTGTTGAAATGTCTTCTTCTGCTTTCTACTGTACGGACGTAAATGTACTTTCCCTTCAGCCTGAGGCTTATTCATTTCACTTTTGGTGTGAAAAGGCTTTTATATTCGCCAAAAATAGAACTTTTTTATTTTAAAAACAAACAAACAAGCCCTGTCCAAATTTAAAAAGTAACGCAAAAGTAACGTAACGCATTGCTTCTCATAAAAAGTAACTAAGTAGCGTAATTAGTTGCTTTTTTATGGAGTAACGCGATATTGTAATGCATTACTTTTAAAAGTAACTTTCCCCAACACTGCACAGCAGATGCTTTCCAGGGGAAACGCTCTTTAAAAGACATCTCGGAGATGTGTGCTATCAGCATTCAAACTCCTCCAGATCCAGTCCAGCGAGTCCAGCATCAGGTCACAACAACAAAGTGGAGGTGACAGGTCAGGTTTATAACACCCTGCTATAAATAGTTGAAATGTCATGTCAACTACAATAGTTTATCTTTTAACAGGTGACACTTTGAGCTGGTTAGACCACTTACGGAATGCTTGTTGGGGAGCATTCGGCTACGTCTATGAAGGGAAAAGCTTGAAGGATGGCCTTGAGGTATCATACATTTCTTTAAGTATCTAGCAGATTGTTTTGTCTCAATCATGGCTGCTTCAAAGGTTCCTCTGACAGCTGTTCTTACCACGGCTGATCCCGAGATTGCTGTGAAAACCTTAACTGTGGCTAGCAGAACTCAGTAGGTCTTATATTTACATTGTCATTTAGCAGACGCTTTTATCCAAAGCGACTTACAAATGAGGACAATAAAAGCAATCAAAATCAACAAGAGAGCAATGATATGCAAGTGCTATAACAAGTCTCAGTTAGCTTAAAGGTGACATATCATGAAAATCGGACTTTTCCAGGTTTTAAGTGCTATAATCAGGTCCCCGGTGCATCTACCAACCAAGGAAACGTGAAAAGGATTAACCCAGTAACTTTGTTTTGGGAAGCCTTTTTCTGCAAGCAAATGAGAACTTATTTAGTACTCACATGCTGTGACAGCCGCTTTCTGTGCGTGTGATTCATTACATTGTCATTTAGCAGACGCTTTTATCCAAAGCGACTTACAAATGAGGACAATAAAAGCAATCAAAATCAACAAGAGAGCAATGATATGCAAGTGCTATAACAAGTCTCAGTTAGCTTAAAGGTGACATATCATGAAAATCGGACTTTTCCAGGTTTTAAGTGCTATAATCAGGTCCCCGGTGCATCTACCAACCAAGGAAACGTGAAAAGGATTAACCCAGTAACTTTGTTTTGGGAAGCCTTTTTCTGCAAGCAAATGAGAACTTAGTTTAGTACTCACATGCTGTGACAGCCGCTTTCTGTGCGCGTGATTCAGGTGTGTGCACTCAGAAAACCGTATATCAGAAGTTTGAACTCATATGGTTTAAAACGCATGATTTCAGCACGATAAACATGATAATCAGAACCAAAACAGATGTTTTTTAGCAGGTACGAGCTGTAATGGAGCAGCTCTATTCTAGAAAAGGGGCGGGGAGCAGCAGCTCATTTGCATTTAAAGACAGGCCCAAAAAACAGCGTGTTTCTGCTTCCATTAAAAAAAATAGGCATTATCTAAATGATCTGTGGAGTATTTTGAGCTGAAACTTCACAGACACATTCTGGGGACACCAGAGACGTATATTACATATTGTAAAAAGGGGCATGTGTTCCACTATGTGGTCCAGTACAAATATTTTGAACATCCCTTATTTTCTTACCAAGAATTGTAATTGTCTCTTTTCTGAAGTTGGCAACTCTCATAATTTGGGACGCACCTACGTTGTGACATGACATTTACAGTTTCGGCAACTGGTGCAGAAAAAACTTAATTGCAGCACAACCGAGTGCCTATGGCAAAGATGGCTGACGTCAAAGCTCATACTTCTGGGGGTTCTGCATGTGGCAGCAGAGCAACTGGTATTGAGAAGCACGGAAAGTTTTCTCCAGATATTACAGACCTTCTTGCTCCATCCAGTTTTTCAGGTTAGTGCTCATCCTGTGTTAATGCTCCCGTGAATAAAATTAACAGGTCTCAAGATAGTTTTGAAAGTTGAACTACTAAGGGGACATTTGAACTTTCTAACTTGATTTTTGGGAGCTTTTCTTTGGATATTGTTGTTGCACAAAAAAAAAAAAAACGACAAACAACCCATGCACACTCAATTTGAAGAAAAGCATTTATTTTGTGAGCTGAAGTTGAGCAACTTTGTTTTTAAGTTGAACAGAGAGAACATTTCAGGAGATGGACAGTATATGAATATATAGGTATCTCAATTCAAAACTGGACTTTGGAAGATATTTTATATCTCCATCTCTATACAAGTGAACATAAACATGTCCAAAAAAGAATTAAAACGGTTTTTTTTTGGAGGAAGAAAAAGCGATTAAGCTATGTTTTGCTTAGCAAATAAAGCGACGAGCTACAATACTTTTAAATATTTATTGCCATTACATCTTAATGAGACAGGCTAAAGTAAAATGTTGGAGTTTGCCTGACGCAACCAGCAGGTCACTGAAGCACCATCCTCCTCATGGACTGTTGTCTGACAGTCTAGTCATTTTTCATGCAGCCCTTAAACACGGATGCTGATGTTTTTCTCTTCAAAATCTTTGCAAATATTTCCAAATGCTTGCAATCATTCAAATGGTGATCAACCAACTTAACGTCATATATGAAGGCATTTAAAGGAATTTAAAATGGAATAAAGGCAATTGCTTTTGGTACTAAATACACAATGCCGACACCTTTGACCAGATAAAAAAAAACAAAAAACGGCTTTCATCCCTTTTTTTCAATTTTTGACCCAAAAAAATTCTAGTTTGTCAATAACAAAACTATGAACAGTTTCAAAAACATAATACCTCTACAATATGACATCAATAATTAAGATCCTTCATTGAACTTAAAGTATCCTCATCAGCCATGAACGAAGTTACAATTTCGTTAAGTTAATGAAACTGTAGCATAAACCTAAATAAACGTGAAATACCACTTTTGGTGTAACGACGAATTTACGCTAGGGCTCAAAGTAGGTGCTAAGTGCGAAGCAAAAACCACGTTATAGAAAAACCTACTCCAAACTCTGGATTCCCATAACTTTTTTTTGTTCTTATATGGGTGTGGAATTTGTAGTGTCTACTTTTACATCGGTAGGCATCGTGTAAGCATTGTGTATCGCTCTCAGGGTCATTTAGTCCAAAGGGCTGAAGTCCCTCTCTAAGTTTTCAGATTCGTCATCATCAGAAAAGAAGTCGTCATCATCTATATCTTCCTCATCGTAATCCTCGTGCCATTCTGGAACGTATTCATCGTCATACTCGTCGTCCTCCTCTGCTTCATCGCCGGGGTCCTCGCCGGCGCAGTTGTTGTTGTCAGAGTCTCCATCAGATTTGGACCTGAAATAAAAAATGAAAAAGGTCAAGGTTGTTGCAGAAGTCTGTTGTGATTCTCTGTAAACGTGTGGCGGCTCACTCTTTGTTGGTGTCTGTGTGGTTAGCCAGATTAGAGGCCTGTGCGGTCTCCTGGTCTGGCCCAGTCTTGGACTGATATCCTACACGGAAGTCCTGCCAAAAAAGACGATTCATCCCAGATGGTCAAATGAGTGCTTTGAATAAAGCTTTTAATAAACAAGTTCATGTTACACCCCAAAGAAGTACAAACAGGAGTAGGTTTACCTGAGTGGAGTGCTGGAGGATGGCCACAAGACGCTCCTGAATTCGGCGAATGAGCTCCAGGCCAGTGTTTAGGTGTTCAGGTTTTAGGAGTCGGACACAGGATGCAAGATCAGTGCACTGCAGCAGCGTCTCCTCTGAAACCAGAATCACAAGCAGTTTTATCATCATGTAACCAATGCATCAGAACTAAACAACATTCAATTAGTGTTCACAACATGTTTTGGAAGTAAAAATCCATTCAATTAAAACAGGTTTATATAAATTGAATACGATTTAAGACCATGAGCTCATAGCTTAAAGGGTTAGTTCACCCAAACATGAAAATTAGGCTGTTTTACTCACCCTAAAGTCATCCTAGGTGTATATGACTTTCTTCTTTCAGATGAATCCAGTAGGAGTTATATTAAAAATGGTCTTTGATCTTTCAAGCCGTTTAATGCCAGTCAGCGGGTGTTGCATGCATCAGTCCAAACGAACTTAAAATAAAAATCGCCCATCCATAAAAAAAAGAAAAAAGTGTCTCACACGGCTCCGGGGGGTGAACGAAGGCCTTCTGTAGCGAATTGATGCGTTTTTGTAAGAAAAATATCCATATTCAAAACGTAATAATCACTTTAATGTAGCTTGCGCCAACAGTTGTACACGGAAGCAGCTCCGGGAGGATGACGTATGAGTTCAGTGCTGCGCATGTGCCGGTGCGTCTCATGAAAACCAACGTTTGTTTACAGGAGCAAAGGAAGCAAAGTTTCCTTACTTTAGCAAAGTCTCCTCTTGACTTGTATCGAAATCCTCTGACATTCTTCTTTACAAATCCTCGTATTCTTGACCGTTGGTTTGTTTTGATCTCTCCGCTGCATGCGCAACGTCGACCTCATACGTCATCCTCCCGGAGCTGCTTCCATGTACAACAGTGAGCGCAAGCTAGATTCAAGTGATTATTACGTTTTAAATATGGTTATTTTTCTTACAAAAACGCATCGATTCGCTACAAAAGGCCTTTGTGCACCCCCCGGAGCCGTGCGAGACACTTTTTTTATGGATGGGCGATTTTTATTTAAGTTCTTTTGGACTGATACATGCAGCACCTGCTGAGTGGCATTAAACAGCTTGAAATATCAAAGACAATTTTTAATATAACTCCGACTGGATTTGTCTGAAAGAAGAAAGTCATATACACCTAGGACAGGGATAGGCAAGTTCGGAGCCTAGAGAGAGTCCTGCAGAGCTTAGCTCCAACCCTAATCAAACACACCTGAACAAGCTAATCAATGTCTTCAGGATTACTAAGGCTATAGACGGGTGAGGTTTTTTTTCAGGGTTGGAGCTGAACTCTGCAGGACTGCGGCTCTCTAGGACCGAACTTGCCTACCCCTGACCTAGGATGTAATTCTACATCTAATAAACCTAATTTTCATTTTTGGGTGAACTAACCCTTTAAGTGACGATATGTGCTTCTGCAGAAGACTTGAGAAGCCATTGTCATGTTTTGTGGTAATATGATTCAATCTTTCCACTACCGTAGTGTAGCTATGCTGTGACCAGGTCTCTCTATGCTTTTAAAGTGCCCCTATTATGGGTAATGAAAGGATCATATTTTGGCTTTGGGAGTCCCAACAACATCCTGACATGCATGCAAGGGCAAAAAACACTTTCATTGTCTTATAATATGCATTCATTTTTACCTTACTTGCTCAACAACTCCCAAATGTTCGCTCAACGATTCATTTTTCCAAACCCCTCCTTTGCGTGACGCTACTCTGCGGTGATTGGTCTGATTGGTCTCATTTTCATTTAATCTCGCCTGTAACGCCTGATAAAGCAGCGTTTGTGAGCGCAGTGCTGCTTTGTGTACAGCGTTACCGGGGAAACCGCTATTTTTACACTGCAAAAGTGGCATCTAGTGGCAAAAAAATTAATTTGCATTTTCATTCAGACCTATTCGAAAAGACCAACAAGTGGGCGGGCAACATGCTAATGTTTCATGTTGACGTCAGCATGAAATGGCTTGGGATTCGTTTTAAAAACGACTCGTTAAAAACAACTTTCTTTTGAGAGACAATAACATACACCGAGCACTTTCAGATTTAAAATAGCGGTGATTGGTCTGATTGGTCTCATTTTCATTTAATCTCGCCTGTAACGCCTGATAAAGCAGCGTTTGTGAGCGCAGTGCTGCTTTGTGTACAGCGTTACCGGGGAAACCGCTATTTTTACACTGCAAAAGTGGCATCTAGTGGCAAAAAAATTAATTTGCATTTTCATTCAGACCTATTCGAAAAGACCAACAAGTGGGCGGGCAACATGCTAATGTTTCATGTTGACGTCAGCATGAAATGGCTTGGGATTCGTTTTAAAAACGACTCGTTAAAAACAACTTTCTTTTGAGAGACAATAACATACACCGAGCACTTTCAGATTTAAAATATTGCAGGATGTTTTCCTTCACTTAGAGCTGTGTTACACACTGCATGAAAGGTAATTTTCAAAATTCCATAATAGGGGCACTTTAAAAGACTTGTACATGAATCAACTTCAAACATGCTGTAATTTACCTACAGACAAGCATGTTTTCGCATCAAATTAACGTCATGATTAAACAAGTAGCAAAAGATCTTTTTTTTCATATTGTGATGTACATCTGAGTGTAATGGATAGTTGAAAAAGACAAAACTGTAGGATGGGGACTTGGTTCTGTCCAGCGGTCATTGACTGGATTTGGAGATGTGGACGTTGCGCTCCAAAATAAATGCGAGCTTGTAGTCAATTGTGCAGTCAGGCTTTAAATGATTGGGGAAGTCCTGTACATGTCACCAGAGAAGTCTACAATTTCATCAGGACGACTGAGTTATGACATTTAGGCTAAACATTACAGTGTCACAAAAATAATTTAAAAATACATACATTGATAATTTGTTCATAATAGATTTAAAGAGCTTTTTGGTTTGGTTTGGCTCAAAGTCTAGAACTGTTTACTGAAAAACGTTTAGAAATCCCTATTGAGAATGTGAATGGGAAAAGTACTTCCAGAACCAAGGCTGGTGAAAAGGTTTGTGGTCACTGTTGCAGTCAACTTGTCCAAGGTTTCTTGTATAACATTCCCAAAAGCAATGGCGAGTGACTGATTGGGTGCTTTCCCTAACACTAACCAAGCAGGATCTGCAGGGCGTTAGTATGAAGGTCCAGAGCTTCTGTCTGTTGCTCCATCACATCCATCTTCTCAGTGTCCTGATTGTAATAGCTGTAAACACACGAGTATGCCAGCACCTACATGACAAATTACACAAATAGAACCATTAGCATAAAGAAAACAACTGGAAATATGTATTTAAAAAAAAATTCCCACCTTTCGAGCTTGGGCAAGAATCTTGCAGGCGTCGATCACAAATGTCAAAGACTTCATCTGTAAAGCTTCATTAATAGAAAACACCTTATGCTCCAGATTGATTGCAAAGTCCTGCAGAAAGCAATAGACAGACACTTATAAGAACTTAAAAAGTTTGAACTGAATGTAATGAAGAGCTCCAACAAACCTTGGCTTGATTATGAAATGTGCATCTCTCATTGTAGTCTTGGAACTTCTTCTCTTGCCTTGCAGCTTTACTGACCTGCGATTGCATATTAATATACAGGACTTTCAGGGCTGGACTCGTAAATATGCAATTATTAAAAATCAGTGTCTCCAGTTTTAAATGAAGGTAGAAAAATTGTTGGCACAAAATGGTCTTTCAGAAATCTGAATGTTTTTGGAAGTCTTGTGTGGCCCTTTTTGTGTATTACTTGTAAATAACAGATAGGTAAATATTGCTGTTTATTACTATGCATTTGTGCTAGTGAATATAAAATAAAAATCATTCTTCCTTGTGTTCATTCAGTGAATAAAAGGGTTGGAAACAGGATCATATTGCAATCGGTCTTTGTGGAAAATTTGTATTAACCAAATATGAATCAATCAAGTATTATCACTTTGAATATAGCCATTTATTTATCAAGTTATTCTACTATTATAAGCATGTATTTGCCTGTGTGTACAGAGGCCTTCAGAAGAATGGAATGTGCGGCCATTACAAAAATATATGGTGAAGTGTTCAATTTGGATTGACAGACAAAATATATGACCCCTGATCCGCTTCATATAAATTGAGGCCTTTTGTCAACAGATTGGTGTCACAGCCAAAAAAGGTAAAAGTTCATAAACAATAATGGCATGTGAAACAATTAAAATTGTACTGCAGGGACTCTTGGCTCCATTATTTCTGGCATCAATACCCCAAGACTTTCGAGAGTGATTCATCACTCACAGAAGCCCCCACATCTTCTGAAGACACTTACCATGGCTGAGCAGTTGTAATAATCTTTATGTGTTGGCTTCCATGGCTTCAGACATCTCCAGCAAAATCCATGATTACATTTGGCACACGTCATGCTACACGAAGAAAAAGACATAAGGTATACACTTAGTATTAAAGTTAACCGTTACATAGTTCTTCAATTTAATAAATATGAGACATTTGTGCATGCACACTCACTGTAGGCAACCCTCGTTCTTCTCAATCTGGGCCTGGCAGCTGGGGCATCGTTTGGATATAAGTTTGGCCAGATGTTTACTCTGTGCTTCCATACTCATTCCCTCATAGTAGCCTCCATCATCCATCCACTGAGACATGTGACTGCAGCTGGCTGGGTAGTGCGCCTGATGATTGGACAAGAGAGATCACTGAAGCATGAGTACAGATTACACAGCACAGTACAGGTGTAAATCTCAACCATTTCAGAAAACCAAGGCTTACTCTTAAAGTTAACTGGGTATCTCCACCCTGTACCCACCCTGTACAAAATATGTGATAAAATATGTGCATTCGTTCATTTAAATAAATTATAATAAAAGCCATGAACTATAAATAATTTGTAAGTATGTGCTTCATTGTCCCAATGCAATGCTAAACATCTTAATGGTCCTAATACTGGCCCAAAGTAGGAAACATTTAAGATTTTCTAATATTTTTGAAAGAAGTCCCTCGTGATTATCATGGGTGAACTTATTTGATAAAAAAATATATATATTTTTTATAATTAAAAAAAAAAGTATTTATTTATTATTAAAATTTATTATTTAATTTATTCCTGTAATGTAAAGCTGAATTTTCAATCTTCAGTGTCACATGATCCTTACAAATTTTAATATGCTGATTTGCTGCTCAAGAACAATTTATTATTATTATCAATGATGAAAACTGTTGTGCTGCTTAATATTTTTGCCTATGGTACACTACCATTCAAAAGTTTAGGGTAAGATTTATGTTATATGAGAGATTTTTCAGACAGATAGATCTATATTAGATCTTTCAATATTAATAAGATTAATTATTGATAATTCAGCACATCTGAGCAGCAAATCATCATATTAGAATGATTTCTGAAGGATCATGTGACACTGAAGACTGGAGTAATGATGCTGAAAACTCAGCTGTACCATAACAGGAATAAATTCATTTAAAAAAATCATAACTATTCCAAACTTCTGACTAGCAGTGTATAGGCTTTTTAAAACTTTTTAACTTTAATACACAAAATGTATTTGTTTATTTTGAGATTAAATTAGTGGTCGACCGATATTGGTTTTTGACAGCCGATACCGATGCCGATATCTTGGAAAGCAGGTTGGCCGATATAAAGCAGATATAATTTTATTTATTTTAATTCACATTTAAGAAATTTGAAATAATTTGAAAATGGGTTAAAAAAATAAACGTGTAAAATAAACATACTTACACTCTATAAGACAAAGTATTTTTCACAAATAAAAAAATATTTAATAAAAAAAAAAACACTGTAAACACTGTAACCAACAGGGCACTCAGTATTCTGGGAAGTTTGTGTGCATTGGGAATCATATTTTTTCAAATAAAGCCAAGGTAACACTCATTTTACATACAGCACACAGTGAAAATGACATGAATATGGCAGTGGGCAAATGCATAAAGCGCAGCATAATTTGAAATCAGTCACGAGTTTAAAGTCTGTCGATCGCGCGTCTCCAGTGAAGCTGAACTCTCCTCCTGTCTGTATTCAATTCGCACAGACCGACCATCACAGAACAATACATGCAGGTCACATGCACACTTCACAAGATCTCAACTGGATCCGACTAAGTCTGCAAGGTTTGTGAAATTAAATGTTCCTTCAAAGATTTGTTTAAATGATATAAATGCGTATTTGCGGAATGCTGACTGCAAACGAGAAAGTATTATAATGTTTGCCTTTAATAATATTAAAGCAATCGTTATAATACTTTTTTGTATACATTTTAATTCCTTTGTTTAACAGTTTGACACATTAGGCAGATTACCTCTGGGAAGTTACAGCTGAAACAGGAAGACCAGCAGCACTTGGAGCAGGTGCCCACGCTACCGATGTTCTCCTTGCACAGGATCTGGTCGCAGCCCTGAGGGTTGGTACACCAGGTCAGGTTGGAGCAGCACTCCACGAAGCCTCGGAGAAGGGCGCTGTCATACTGCAGGAGAAAGCACAGGATACAAACTCATTCTCCAGTCCCCCAACACACCGAGAGCGTGTGCTGACCTGCACATACTTTGGCAATGGTGTCCTTATCGGTGAGGATGTTGTGAAAGAACTTGGAGGTGGGCTGAGCCCGACAGTCTGTGATCGGACAGTCGCAGTTCATCACCAGATTCTGTTCGATGCGAGCAGTGAGGTACTCCTGCCAGCAGGACTAATGGGAAACAGAAATGAGAACAACAAACAGTTTAACATAACTTTAACAAGATTTCATATAGGGCCAGATTTACTAACAGCTTGCAACCGCACAAACCCTCTTATTGAATTCTAAAACTACGGTCTGGATTTATTCAAGACACGCAGTGAAAAATGAGCAACGAAAAGGCATTTTTGAGGCTGACATTATTGCATATGCATTTGCAGGAGTTTCGGAGCAGGTGCCCACGCTACCGATGTTCTCCTTGCACAGGATCTGGTCGCAGCCCTGAGGGTTGGTACACCAGGTCAGGTTGGAGCAGCACTCCACGAAGCCTCGCAGAAGGGCGCTGTCATACTGCAGGAGAAAGCACAGGATACAAACTCATTCTCCAGTCCCCCAACACACCGAGTGTGTGTGCTGACCTGCACATACTTTGGCAATGGTGTCCTTATCGGTGAGGATGTTGTGAAAGAACTTGGAGGTGGGCTGAGCCCGACAGTCTGTGATCGGACAGTCGCAGTTCATCACCAGATTCTGTTCGATGCGAGCAGTGAGGTACTCCTGCCAGCAGGACTAATGGGAAACAGAAATGAGAACAACAAACAGTTTAACATAACTTTAACAAGATTTCATATAGGGCCAGATTTACTAACAGCTTGCAACAGCACAAACCCTCTTATTGAATTCTAAAACTACGGTCTGGATTTATTCAAGACACGCAGTGAAAAATGAGCAACGAAAAGGCATTTTTGAGGCTGACATTATTGCATATGCATTTGTAGGAGTTTCTCTTTCAGACTTAACATTTACGGTAGGAGAGTATTTAAATGAATCACGAAAGGTGATTTACTAAGGTCAATTTACTGGTATTTGTGCCATTATTTATAAAAAGCATATCTTAACCAATTTTTTATCTGTACTTAATTATAATCGGCTCTGATTCTTTGCGACCCTACACTAATAGCTGCTTTTACCGTCTTTTAGCTGCCAGTCATCTATATAATAAAAGGTGACAAATAATAACAGAACTTGACAAAATTAAGTTTGAGCACATATAAAATACACTTTCTCTTCCACAAAAACGGAGTACAATTATTTTTGATCCTCATGTACGAAACAAAATAAAAATGTATCTAAAATTTCATGGATCATAGCTTTACATTAATTACGGACTGGCTTTTTTATTTTTTAACTGATTTACAGTACCATTCAAAAGATTGGGGATGGTAAAAAGTGCAACAGCACAAACCCTCTTATTGAATTCTAAAACTACGGTCTGGATTTATTCAAGACACGCAGTGAAAAATGAGCAACGAAAAGGCATTTTTGAGGCTGACATTATTGCATATGCATTTGCAGGAGTTTCTCTTTCAGACTTAACATTTACGGTAGGAGAGTATTTAAATGAATCACGAAAGGTGATTTACTAAGGTCAATTTACTGCTATTTGTGCCATTATTTATAAAAAGCATATCTTAACCAATTTTTTATCTGTACTTAATTATAATCGGCTCTGATTCTTTGCGACCCTACACTAATAGCTGCTTTTACCGGCTTTTAGCTGCCAGTCATCTATATAATAAAAGGTGACAAATAATAACAGAACTTGACAAAATTAAGTTTGAGCACATATAAAATACACTTTCTCTTCCACAAAAACGGAGTACAAATATTTTTGATCCTCATGTACGAAACAAAATAAAAATGTATCTAAAATTTCATGCATCATAGCTTTACATTAATTACGGACTGGCTTTTTTATTTTTTAACTGATTTACAGTACCATTCAAAAGATTGGGGATGGTAAAGTTTTTTTTTTTTTTTTTTTGAGTCTCTCATGCTCACCAAAGCTCTATTTATTTACAGTAAAATACAGTAAAACAATAATAGTTAAATTATTAGAATTTAAAATAACCGTTTTCTATTTTAATATATAAAAAAAATTATTCTTAAAATAAATTCTATAAAATATATTCCTGTGATCACAAAGCTGAATTTTCAACAGCAATTACTCTAATCAATGTCACAAGAAACATTTCTTAGTATTATTGTTGAAAACAGTTGTGCTGCTTAATATTTTTGTGGAATAAGTTGTAAAAAAAAATTCTTCAGGATTCTCTGAATATTTAAAATATGAATGTAAATGTCTTTACTGTCACATTTGATCAATTTAATGCATCCTTGCCGAATAAAAGGTAAAAAAAAAAAACTACTATGTACTTTCACTTAATATAATCACATTTAAAACAATGCACTTAATGTGGACATACATGTCTTCACAATATACTTGTAAAATACATATATTTCCTTTAGTTACATCTGTAATTAATTTCAGTAATTACATCTATAACTACATAATTACCCCTATCCCATAACCACCCTTAAACTCAATCATAGCACCAAATTTGTCCCTAACCGTACATTTATCCCACTTCAATACAAGCAAAAGAGATCTGCAATAACATAATCAGAATGAGTACATTGTAGCAAACAATTAATTATATTGGAAGCAAGCACGTAGTAGTTAAAGCCATCCAAACTTTTGAACAGTACTGTATTTACTAGCCCTTTAATATACCCCATCTAAATGTGCCGTTTCCACAGGAAACACATCAAACCAGTGTTTAACTCTGAAAGGTTTTAGCCCTGCACTCACTCTGCAGCAGTAGTGCATGCAGCAGAGCATGGGAGGGGGGTCACTCTCTTTGGACTGGGAAAGGCACACGGGACACTGGACCACGGGGCCTGGGGCCGGCTGGGGGTTGCGGATCTTGAGGCCGGCAGCCAGGACCAAGGCGTCTGGGTCGTCTGTGTACCGCTGGATCAACAAGTCCACGTTCCATTTGCAGTGCATGAGCAGGTGCTCGGCCCGGTCCAGATCCAGGCTCAGGGTTCCCGCCACCTGCTGGACGGTGCGCTGCATCAGCTGCTTGACCTCCTCCTGAGTCATTGTGCGACCCATGGAGAACAGCACGGCCTCCAGCACACCGTCCTCCGGATGCTGCAGGGGAACTATTAGGCCTCCCAGGCTGCAGAGGGAGATATATACACACAAAACGTCATTATGTGGATGTGGAACGGGAAAACACTGACTTTCAGGGATGGGCATTTTGACTCTTAACAGAATCTGCAGATTTTCCACATTCACAGTGTCATTTATTTGGGAGAACGGATTTAAACCTGGTAAAATTCAATACTATACTTTCATTGGTAGCTGGAAGAATAATCAAAGTAGCCAAACTATTTAATAAACCAACAACAACAAAGAAATCTTCTTCTAATCTTCTAATTGTGTGAAACTCTGCAGTGCTCTTCCATGTGGACTTGCTCAACATGTATTACCATATAAAAGCCATTTAAAAAAAAGCCACATTTATTGATTTTATTCTGGCCAAATATAAACATTTTAACTCCCTGATATGCACCACGTTTAATAAGGCAATAATATAACTATCCCTTTGCATTGATTAAAATATAATTTGTTAATTTTGAAAAACGTATCACCTTAAATAGAATTTAAATAGACATTTAAATAGAATAAATGAGCAACAGACATGATTCAAAATGTAAAATGTCTTTATTTTTCTTAAATGGTAAACATAAGTTGCCTTGTTTCAAAATATCTAGCATATCTATGCTAAAATTCTGTACTGAAGAAGCATAAGTATTAGATTTTTTAAAAGTGGACAAAAAAAACCAAAAAAATTCCCAGTAGACTTTCTGCGGTAGTGCACCCAAAAATGAAAATTCTGTCATTTACTCACTCTGATGTTGTTCCGAAACCCATAAGGGCTTTTATTCATCTTCAAAACATAAATGAAGATATCGGAACAGATTTAATTTAGCCTTTTATTCATATATAAACATTGATTAATGCACAAGCATGGCACATATATGGTAAATGGAAGCTTAAATGTGCTTGCAAAGAGATTTGTTTTAGTGTCAAGCAAGTGCGTTTGACCATATGTGAATAAAAGACAAAATTAAATCAGTTTGTGTCGCTTCAGAAGACTTGGATTAAACCACTCGATTCATAGAAATTACTTTTACAATGTCTAAAAATATGCATTAAAGTTTTGGTTGCATAGCCTTTCTTTGGTTGCATAGCCTTTCAAATGTTGAGGCAAAAAACTAAAGATATTAAAAATACCTTCATTTGCGTTGGGTTTGGAACTACATGGGGGATTAAACAACACTTTTCATTTATGGGTGAACTAACCCCTTCACTACGGCACAGACAGAAACTGAGCAGCCTTCATTTAATAACAGGACTGACCATAACAGGTTAAACCACATTAACGTTAAACGTTAAACCTAGTGAGCTGCTTCCCAGTTTACATCAGACACAGGCAGCGGTCTTCTAAGATGAATGATTTGGAACGCTCTACATGAGCAGCAACTCCACATATCCCACAAACATCTTTCATAATAGCATCAGGAGCCCGTAGTGCTGTCAAATGATTAATCGTGATTAATCGCATCCAAAATAAAAGCTTTTGTTTACATAATATGTGTGCATACTGTGTATATTTACTATGCATATATAAATACACACACATGCATGTATATATTTTGAAAATATTTACATGTTTACATGCATATATGTATATTCATATAATTTATATTATTTATAAATATATTCAATATATAAACATTACATTTTTCTTAAATATATACATGAGTGTGTGTATTTATAAATATACACAGTACGCACGCATATTATGTAAACAAAAAGGTTTCTTTTGAATGCGATTAATCGCGATTAATCGGTTGACAGCACTAGGAGCCCGTCTAGGTAGGAAACTCACTAGGTTTTGAAACAGAGCTGCACACACAGGAAATATAAGAGCTTTCAACAAAAAAAGCAAAAGGATAGACAAGCTACTCGCCCCAATGAGTGCACCTGTTCGGTATCAGTGCATGTCTCATTTCAGAAAAAAAAGAAAAGCCCTGAGAGGAGAGAAAAACGTCGGTGAAAGCCACGCTCTCTGCCTCCTTTCTTGCACGGGGGGTCTAGGGATCAAGGGTTAAGGGTCATCAGCACACCTGGTGTCAGCTTTGTTGCCGCCGCTGCTGCTTGCGGAGCTTTTTTTCACGTCCATCTTAAAGGAGAACTGCGCCTGGCCCTTTCGGGGTGTGGACGGGTCCTCCATCAAGAACTCCACGATGTGTGGGCTTTCCTCGTTGCGGCGGAGGTAGCCTTTGTTGATGACGTGCATGATGCAGGACAGCACGTCTGTAGTGCTGCAGCTGAAGCGGACCGAGGTGCGAGTCCGACTCGACTCCTGCTTCTGACACCGGTCCAACACCTGCAACGGCACAGGAAACACACAAAAAGCACACAAACTCATCTTCTGTAATGTCTGGTTTTTCTATGATCACTTTTGTTCATAATAACATACATACAAAAGCACATTTCCCACAAAGCCAAAAAAATCTACTTTCAGAACTATTTGATTTGAATTTTCATGAAAATCACTATTTTTTAAAAAAAATGTACATACAGCATTTTTTCCAGTGTAAAAATTAGCATCAAAAGCAGTATTACTACTAGGGCTGTCACTAACGATTATTTTGGTAATCGAGTAATCTGACAATTATTCTGATGATTAATCGAGAAATCGGATAATTATAATATATATTTTTTAATAGTAATAAGGTAATAATATTTAGTTCAAATAAAAGTATCAAAAGCAAGTAATCATATAGTTTTATTGAACAAAACTGTTAAAATACATAATGTATTATAAACAACCGATCTAATGTACATTACGCATTATAACAAATGCCTGCAGCCAACGGCCTGACGATTGTTTTTAAACTTTACTGCGCAATCTAATCTTTGTTTAATATTGACTCAGTAAATGTTCACTTAATCTTTAATATTTGGCCATTTCTTTACGACAGAAATGCTGCAGCCACTGTAATGTCTTAAATATGTGGACATCAAAACGTCTAAACTCAGAACTCCGAAAGAGAGAAGGTTTCATTTTTAAACCTGCATCGCATACAGTTATTTAATCGAATCGTAACATTTCTGAATTCACAATAGCATTATGCTTTATTATGGTTTTTAAATGGGTTTAATATGTCAAGCAGCCTTGGAAAACGGTCTTATAATGAATGCTCTTAAAATAGGATTCTTGTCTTGTCTTACAAGTTACTCGACACGGGTAAAATGCAATCAAGAATTTTTAAAAAATAGATTACACTAATTGAATCAAGGAATAGTGACAACCCTAATTATTACATAAACACTACAATTTAAAATTATTTTCTTTTTGTAGTACAATTATTAGATTTTGGGAGATGTGCTTAATAGTCATAAAAATCTTTTCAAAATGAAATATATTTCTATTTCTATTATATAAATAAATAAATAATGACAGATATATAGATAGACAGGCCCCATGCAAAATAATCCATACTTTACCATGAACACTAAATTGTCAATATGCATCTCCTTCTCATTCTTCATGATCTGCACAACGAGACAGTAGATGTAGTTCCTCTTCCTCTCTAGTGTGAGCGCAGCATCTTCATCCACATTCAGGTAGGTCTGCTTGGGAAGCAGGAAATGGTAACCGTGTCTGTCTGAGCTCTGCGAGAGGGTCTTCTTGTTCAGTCTCAGGACCCCTGAAAAATTCAGAATTAAATGGTTTTCGGTTAGATTTTTTGTACATTCAGAATTCGAAGCACTGAATGATTCAAAACAGTGATTCAGATATTGAACTTTTTAAATGCATTTACACTTAACAAAACACTAATAAAGTTTGGAATAATTTGTAGGTTTTATGTTTTTAAAAGTCTCTTAAGTTCACCAAGGCAGCATTTATTTGATGACAAATGCAGTAAAACATTTTTAGAATTTAAAGTAAGAGTTTTCTACTCCAATATATTTCAACATTTTATTTATTCTTGTGACGCAAAGCTGAATTTTCAGCATCATTATATTATTACTCTGAATTAAGCCCCGTTCACACCAAGAACGATAACTATAAAGATAACGATATTAGCGTCCACACCAGCGGACGATATTGTCTGTAAGCGCACACGCTCGTCTGCTGCTTTAAATTCTCAAGCTTGTTACAGCAGGAATTATTTTGATTGGCTGTCAATGTTTTTATCGTTCTGAAAAGGATTCCAATGATATCGTTTCTCTGTGCCTTTATCGGTATAGCTGTGGTGTGGACTCTGCTATTCTTTAATATTGAGAACGATTTTTAGAAATATACCTCTATCGTTATCTTTATAGTTATCATTCTTGGTGTGAATGGGCCTTTAGGCTACTACTACTATTACACATTTACTCAAACTCTCTTTTATGAGATTAAGCGGTAAAAAAAGAAAATCGGACAAACATACCGAGAGAAAAAAAAAAAAAAAAAAAAGAAATTCGGCATCACATATCGACAACCTGATTTCTAAATATCGGCATCGGCCAGAGAAAAACCCATATCGGTCTTCCTCTAATTGCATTGCCATCATGGATATTTCAACTAACCGTTGGCATAAAAGTCTGCGAATTTGGCCAGGTAATTGCAGAGTTGAGTAGGGAAGTGTTTGCTGGGGTCCTCGAGGTAGCAGGGAGCCGACACAACCCAGCAGCGTGGGGACAACACCAACACTTTCACGTCACTCTCTCCCTCGGGTTCAGACACGTCCTCATCCATTATCTAATCACAAAAACATGACGAACCACAAAATGCACAGCATTAGCATTTAAAAGGACAAAGGATTTTTAGAAAGTCTGTTGGCATCTTCCTAAAATCACAACTCCTGTACACACATAACGCAACGATTAGGGATGTGCAACAGCGCTCGAGTACTCGGCCCGGCCGTAACAGCGATGACCGATCATGAAAACGTTGATCGTGGGGAAAAATTTTTTATTCTGATTGTTATAGCAGCACAACCCTGAGCTCTGATTGTTTAGCTTTTATGTTTCTTTTTTAAAAAATACCGATGTTATAATAATGCAGCAGTGCTTTTTCTGTCGTATTTGTTCAAAAGTAGGCATACTTCAATTAAAATTCGTACTTCGTATGGCTTTGAAAACGTGCAAGGCGATTTTAGGAATCACTTGATAATATAGATGAAAATATATCACAAATCTGCCATAAACATAGCATTATAATGGGAACTTTATGGAATGTGAAATCTATAGTAAACTCTGTCTGCTATCCTTGCCCGTGTTTAGCATATTAACTGGCATTTGCATCCTTTTGCAATCAATTTATATAAATATAACGATGTTGTGCTCTTATTTCACACAACTAGTTATTTAACTAGTTACATTTTTATTAACTCATAAATGCTAACTAAATATAATAGGAACATTTAAATTGAAAATCCCAATTGGGACATCCATAACAATTTACTTTTTTTAAAATTTTTTTAAAGGGGTCATATGATTCGATTTCAATTTGTCCTTTCTCTTTGGAGTGTTACAAGCTCTTGGTGCATAAAGAAGATCTGTAAAGTTGCAAAGACTAAAGTCTCAAATCCAAAGAGATATTCTTTATAAAAGTTAAGAGTTAACCACGCCCTCCTAAAACGGCTCGTTCTAACACGCCCCCACATGTCTACATCACTGTTTGGGAAGATTTGCATAACGCCGTCCAAATGTTCACGCAAAGAAAGAAGGCGTAACTTTTATTCTCGCTGTAGTATTGTTGCCCCCGCCGCCATGTCGTGAAGGCACTGTGTACTTCGTTTTGAAAGTGAAACTACTTTGTTTGGTCTTCCAAAAGAGGACCATCATATGACCCCTTTAAATAATAAAGAAAAACAAATAATGAAAAAAGTCCAACATATAATTTGATGACAGCTCATCATTGGCTGCAATGAGATGAGCAATGACAAGTCAAGAAAGTCTTTGTCTTCTTCACTAAGCATCAACTCCAGTTACCAAAAAAATTATAATAATAAATTATATTTATACAGAAGAATTATTAAAAAAGAAACTTCAAAAATAAAGTTATTAAAGCACAAATATTTGATAGTTTTTCTTCAGGACATTGTGTGCAGATGTGGCTCACGTGAGTGTCAAAAAAGTGCATCTTAAAAGACTTCTATATATCGAACCATAAAAACGCATCATTAGACGCCTAATAATGGATATTGACCACACTGTCTGAACCAACAGACCAGCAAAAAAAGTCTAGCACTCAGTCGAGCAGTCAGTATTAAAGACTAGATTTCAAGACAAATTTTAATGATGCATTTATACACTTTCAACCACTTCCAGAGGTAGTTGACAATGCATTCAACCGGATTACTTTTGTAGTGTAGATGTGTAGTGTAGATTTGTGCAGCCACAAAAGAATTCTTCCTCCGCGCCTACTGAGCCAATTCGAAAACATTACGGGACGTGTTGTTAAAGCACACTAGGCAGATGGGGTTTAAACTTTGCCGGCTGAAAATGTAAGTTTGGTTTGAAGGTGAAAAAAATTGCTCTTACCAGTCATGACTCTGAAACACAGTGTGTTTGTGTTAAAGCAGATACTATATATATATATATCTCTGCCTATAGACCCTCCTCTCAAAGAAATCAGGAAAGTTGTCAAAAGAGGACAAAAGAGATGGATTAATACCAGTTGTAAAGTTGTATTCTATTATTCTCACCTCCTCAAAGTTCTCCAGATTTTTGTCCAGCTGCTGTAGACGGTAAAGATGAAACTCCTGTTGAAGCTCCTCAGATTCACTGAGGTTGGTCAGCATCTGCTGGGGAAACCGGTTTGGGAAGCAGGTACCGATCTGCTCCACCACAGCGCTCTCTAACCACACCTTCCCCTGACCCAACAGCCGATCCCCCAGATAGTACCTGAGCACAGAAGAAGAGATGTACAATGTGAAAAACAGGGTGAGCCATAATAAAAGCTAGTGTTTTCCCAGAAAACAATTCTTGTGCCATGCTTTTCAATCTTATAGAAATAATGATATTTCATTTATAAAACACAGTTAAGTTGATCACCCCTTTTTAGAACAAATACAAAAATAGTGAACCAAATATCATCAATTATAGAAATGAAAAATGTTTATATCATTGTTTATGAAACATCACTCAGCCCTAGTTAGCGGCAGCCGTTCTCATACCTGTAAAAGTGCTCAAAGGTGTTGGCCAGCTCCAGACCGGAGAGAAACAGCATGGGCTCCAGGAACTGCTGGAGCTGGTTTAACGTGTCCACATTTCCAGAGTCCACTCCACTTTCCTGGATCATCTTGTCTATGTACTGCGCAAAACGTTCACTCACCTTCAAGTGTTGTAATAAACAAACAGAATTACTTTTGAATTCTCATTTCAATTCACAGTATCCTAATGTTCCGAAAACTAACCCTAATTAGTTCTTGAATTATGAATTAGATTACATGGGCAATATGACAGACATAATCTTGACAGGTTTCACAACATTCACTCAAGTATTCCCTGTTGACTCACATGCATAGCGGTCAGGATGGAGAGCTGGAGCAAGGCGGCAGAAAAGCCCTGACGGAGCGCAAGCACAAAGGCAGTGTGCTGGCCAAAAAGTTCCTCCATGGCATTCTTTAGCCGGAGGAACAGACCCCTGTAAAGCTCTACGAAGTCAGGGAGGCTGCATGTCGAATCTAGGAAACTCTTCACCTGGAAGGAGACAAACAAAAATGTATCCAGAATTACAGTAATTGATAAGTGGAAGTACAGTTAATTTCAGGCTGAGACACATTGATGGTAAATCAACATATTTTTAATTAAATAAACTGAAACATGGACACATGGAATCGGTGGTGTAAAGTTCAGCAGAAAATTTCACCGATTTCTGAATGATTTTTTATTTTGTTCAGGTATTTTGACTAATTTGATTATACTTTCACCTACTAAAGCTCCACATTTCAATCCTACATTTCACCAAATCTAAAATAAATGTCTAACCTGTCGCTGAACGACACCTTGCCAGCACAAAGCGATGCCTGCAATGCTGCTAGTATTCTTCACTTTTGGTTTGCCAGAGGATGAAGATGAGCTCACTGCTGTCGTTTCCTTATTCTTTCCCTCTTTACCATCTGCAAAACAAAAAAGGACATAAATTAGGGCTCTTGACAAGTTGCACCAAATTTCAAAACCAATCACATGTCATGTGGCTACTAACCAAAACATCAAAACAATGTGCCAGCAATTAGGGCTGCACAATTAATCACAATGTTGGTTCCCTTTAAATCTGTAGTTAAATTCTAACATGCACTATGAAAACAAAGAATGTCAGTGTTTATTTTTAATTTCTAAGACTTTTGGCCTACACAAATCTAGAGTAAAGCAATGGCACTGTGCAGAAAAGCAATTCACCTGATTTTAAAAATGGGCACATTAAAAGGGGTCAACTACAAGCATAAAAGTCTTTGTGTTAAAAAACCAACAACAAGAGTTTCCCCATGCAAAATAGAAATACTAAATGCTGTAATGATAAAATTCAATATTATATAACATTACAACAAAAATAATATTCAACTTGATTGGGGGGGGGGGCTAAATAAATAAATAAAAAAGACTAAAGATAGAAATTCACTTTCAAGTTTTGGCTTCAATGTGAAAGCAAAGAGTTCATTTTCACTGGATTTGATTTTCAAGTTTGAGTTTGGTTCTTGTAACAAGGACTCAAGTGTGGACTCTTTGTACTGGCTGCAGAACATGGACAAAACAAAATCATTTTGGAGATAAAAGGGCATGAAAAATTAACAATTTGCAGTTTTTCAACCTACTTATTAGCATGAAAGCTGTTGTTTCAATATGGTTTATGCTTTTTTCTAGATATTCTGTTATCCAACCAACAGAAATACATAAAATGTTTCTCAAATTGCAGTCGTAAATTATCAAATCGTGCAGCCCTACCAGCGATTTAAATGGGAAGCCAGAACAATTCAAAAACAGATTTAAAGACAGCGGAACTGAATTAATGAAAAAAATAATAAATAAATAAATAAAAAGCCATTGTCGTGGTTAGTTTGGAGTTCAGCGGAGCAGATGGATGTACATAAAATTAAGTCAAAATAAAATAACATTAGCATCTACACTATTACTTACTCTTCAAATCTCTGCTTCTGTTGATACCTTCTGAAAACAAGAAAAATACCTTGAAATACAGAAGTCTTCATTTAACACAATCTACAGAAGGTGGTTTAAAAACAGCACACCTGTTCTCTGGCTTACCAGAAAAGACTTAGGACCACCATGAAACTAACAAATATGTCTCATGTATATTTAAAAGTACTCCACAGTAGCGGCACTCCAGTCTCTAGAATGAAGTATTGTAGTTTTTATTGTTTTGAAGGCACTCACTGGATTTGATGGGAGGTTTGAGCTCCTCTGTATCAACTGTGCTGGTGTCCACATGGACAAGCAAATGAGTGAGACGCCGCACACGGGAGTTGAAGATGGATGCTGAGCTCTTACATCTCTTGGAGGATTCAGTGTTCTCCAAATATTCGCTCATCAACCAGGACAGAGGGCTGAGAGTAGAAGTCTCTGTTATAAAGAAGATGATCGGAAATTCAATCGAAATGGACCACCCAGTTCATACGGCACACACAACTGGAGATACCGGATTGATAAAAGCACTTTTCCGATGTTTGACACCATAATTTGTTTTTCAGCATTAATCTATTAATGTGGTATAATATATTTCACATAAACCGTTCTCTAAGCAGTATGTAAAAACGAAACAAAAACTGGGGTTTAATGCTTTTTGCGTGTTTGTCAGATGGTCCCTTCCTTTTTAAGTGGGTGGTACTTAGCCAGTACAAGCTGGAAATTGGACCAGACTTCAGTCACAGGTAAGTGCTGGTTACCTGAGATAGTGATGCTCTGTACGATGGGGGTGATGAGAGCTTCCCAGCAGGTCCGGCCTAAAGCCTCTGCGGCCTCGGCATCAGGCAGAAAACGGTCAGCAAACATCTGCTCATGTTTCAGGGCACTGTTTAACCTGAAGCCCAGAGAGACGCACGAAAATATAAGGGGTTTTAATACAAATCAGCAACAATAACACCTCCTACCATCTTAATTCAACTTTATAGCTATGACAGAAGGTCTCACCTGTTAAAGAGCTGCAGCAGCTGGTTCTTGTCCTCCAGGATCTCCTGGCACCAGGTGTGAGCTTTTGTCGTATAGAAGAGATAAGTGCGGCAGCACAGCTGCTCCTTAAACACCGGCCAGAACGTGGGCTTCGGCCCCAGAACCTCGAACCCATGCACTCGTGTGTCAATGCCACCCTGTTGACAGGAAGAAACATACTTTGTACTAGAAGTGGAATAAAGAACATCTTAGGATTTACATATAACTCCAGGCAAGTTCTGCCACATTTCATTCTATAGGTCCGACCTGTTGACATCTTTTGACTCTGATCTGAATGATGGGCCAGAAGCGGGTCATATTCTCCAGCAAAAACACATGACTGGCAGAGGGTGCCACATTTACCTGTCCAACACAAAAGAAAGAAGAGAAAGTATCATCTTAAAGTTCAATGTGCAGTCACCACCTGTAAGATGAAGATGAATGAGAAGGGCTTTCTCACAGTGTTGAGTTCAGTATTGATGTTTGTGGGATCATCTCCTCCTAGGACTACAATGCGAGCTGGCATGTAACTTGAGTCCTCACTGGCTACAAGCACAGTCAACTGCCTGTGAATGAAGAAAATGATAAAGGATCTTCATCAAGTTGCAGTGACAGAAATGTATTCTTCCATTAAAGGGAAATATTCTAGGGTTTCTAGGTCCAATATTTTACCTTTATAAGGGAAAATATTTATTAAACCATATTAAATATATGCCAGTAAGACACGATAGGGAAGTTATAAATGAATGAATGTTGTGCAATTTTGAATACAGAAATCCACCAGAACAAAACACGTGACTGTTTTTATGAATGCGTTGTTCGAATGTCCATATGAATATTGCTACTACCTACTATATTTTACTAACTAAAACTGAGCAAAAAAGAAAATATTGACAATACTGCGACTAAAGTTTAAAAAAGTTTTTCACTTAAAAAAAAAACACATTTAGCTTTTTACACAATTATGCTGATATTCGGGAAAACAGCACATTTGCTTGTGATTATTGCTTAACTATGTCATGCATTTAAAAAAAAAAAAAAGTCTCGTCGCTTTATCTTGATTTTGAGGCATTCATTTCCAGCACCGATTAGCTGTTGCTGTAATGATAGTCTAGAGTTTCTTTTAGCAGCATTCACTAAATAAACAGTAGCTAGGCCAGCATACCTGATGATCACCCCTTTATGCATGTAAATGTTGATAAAATGGGAGCCGGTACAGCCGTTGGATTCCCAGTAGGTTTTGGGGTTTTTGTCTGTCAGCTTGTTAGCTCGATGGTGATTGGAGGAGACCTCCACCTTCTCCCAGCACTTGTCCTCTTTCAGTTCCACACTGGAGCCTGGAGAACATCACACTCAAAATCAACGAAAACGTTTGGTAACTGTTATAGTTATACCTAAACCTTTGCTAGTAACAAAGCACGGTTGTTCTTAAGCAAATATGTTCTTAATGCATATTTTTAAATGAATATTTCACCCAAACATAAAATTAGATTATTACATTGTTAGTACATATAGTTCAAATTATTTAATTTTAGTAGGTACAAAAGGAGATATTTTTTCCCATACAACAACGTGGATGATGATTCTCACACAAAGCTATCTCGTGATTTCAGAAAACTTTGAAGTCATGATGAAAGGGAAGTAGCTACAGATCTTTTCTTCCGCATTGTGTCATACATCCGTGTTTAACAAATTATTGAACAAAATATTCTTGGTTCTATCCATCAGATGAAATAAATGAGACATAAGATTCAAATGCGTGAATAATGAATTTAACTTTGGGGTGAATTATTGCTTTAACAATTATACTTTTTACAAGTGTTTTATATGAACATACCTTGGCACAAGTTCCGCAGGAACACATCAAAGAAAGGAATATTGATGGGTTGATGGCTGCGACGATGCTCTTCAATCTGACCAAGGACCATCTAAAGATACAGATATGGAGTGTGTAATTCAGTGAACATGTCCATTAATTATTCTGATCGTCCAACAAACCATTAAACCATTCTAGATATGAACCATCCAATAAAACCTGCTTTGTTAAGCTCCACCTAAATGTTTATGTAAAAGACTTCTAAGGAACAAGTCTGTTCGAGGTCAGGTGACCCAGAAACCAGCCTAATTATACAAGGCTTGTTCAGGCAACTCAGACTAGTTGATTTTGAAAATATTTATTTTGAACAGGCCACCCTTTACCTGTATACATCCAGCCAGCACACTGGTGGTCATTTTCTTGTAGAGGCTGGCGTACTTCTCACAGTCATTGATCAGGTCCCGCAGCTCTGTGACCATGAGCAAGCTGGTGCTGTGTTTGTCCACGGCTTTGATAAGAGCCTCTTTGGAGCCCAGCCGACACATCACAACAGCATAGTCTTTATTCAGAGATGCAAGTCGATATAAGAAGCGGATAAACTGCTGTACGACCTAAGTGGGGATAAAGAGGAATTAAATACTAGTATTATCAAACCATGACCTTATAAAGCTAAATGAAGGGAAAGTACCTCTCTGTCACTGACAAAGGCCGTCATAGATGACAGGCAAGGCTCAATACTCTCATGCCACGGCAACAGATCCTCCTGGTAGTTATCCAAAAACTTGTTCAAAATCCTGTGGAGTATGACATAGTAAATATATTATTAGCAAATAAAACAATATAATCAGTACAGTCACAAAATCAACAATACAATATTGAAATCAAGACTAAGTAGTTTGAAGACAAAAAAAATTTAGTTTTCCAAGATGTCATTCCAAACTAGGGCTGCACGATATATTGTTTCAGCATCGATATCGCGATGTGCGCATCCGCATTCTGTACCTGAATACTGTTAGACTTACCTGAAAAATATAAAGCACTGCTAATTTAATTTGTATCTTTGTTCTGTTATTTATCTTTGCTTGTAATTTGTTTATTTCGTATGCTCATTTACTCGCCTACAAAATCACCCCAATCATTGATTTTTTTTCCCCCAAATAGAGCTATTGAAGTCATCTGAATTTTTTCTCATATCGCAATATATATCGCAGAAAAAAATAACCGCAATGTGAGTTTTTCCAATATCGTGCAGCCCTATTCCAAACTCATATGACTTTGTTGCATAAAACAAAAAAGACCATTAAAATATATATATATATATATATATATATATATATATATATATTTTTTTTCTTGTAATTGCGTAATAATCAGGCAAGGTTAGTAAATAATGACAGAATTTGTCCTTAATTTTGAATTAATTCTTTAAATAAATGACAAAATATCCAATACAGCCCACAAATTACGGTTGCATAGTTTTGTTCTCAACAATGTTTATCGTAATATAATATACAACAAAAACATGAAAAGTAACTAAAATGTGATCAAAAGAAAAAAATTAACAAAACTTATATTTAAATAAATGAAGCATATTTTACAGGACTTAAAAACTTCATAATGTCAAAAATCATAATGCAAAGCAAATGATATATTATTCAAAAACTTAAGTACTAATATTTCATGGGAATAATGGTACTGCCTTTAATTTAATTAATTTTTATTATTCATTTAAAAACTATTAAATTATTATTTCTGCTGTAATAGAATAAAAAATACAGTATTGCAACAATGCTAATCTAATGACTATACACACACACACACATACAGGTGCATCTCAATAAATTAGAATGTCATGGAAAAGTTCATTTATTTCAGTAATTCAACTCAAATTGTGAAACTCGTGTATTAAATAAATTCAATGCACACAGACTGAAGTAGTTTAAGTCTTTGGTTCTTTTAATTGTGATGATTTTGGCTCACATTTAATTATAACTTTTACATTTAGTCATTTAGCAGATGCTTTTATCCAAAGTGACTTTAGTAAACGAATAGAGTGCAAGTCTAAAAGGGGCACACTTTTATTTTACATTTAGTCATTTAGCAGATGCTTTTATCCAAAGCGACTTTAGTAAACGAATAGAGTGCAAGTCTAAAAGGGGCACACTTTTTAAAAAAAAGAAGAATAGAATTAGTGCTAGAGTTAGAGGGTCAAATAATGATGGAAGTTTTTAGTCGTTTCTTGAAGATGGTTAAGGACTCAGCTGCTCGGATTGATTTGGGCAGGTCATACCACCAGGAGGGAACATTTAATTTAAAAGTCAGTGAAAGTGATTTTGTGCCTCTTTGGGATGGCATAATAAAGCGCCGTTCACTTGCAGAACGCAAGCTTCTAGAGGGCACATAACTCTGAAGTAATGAATTTAGGCAAAGGGGTGCAGAGCCAGTGGTTTTGTAGGCAAACATTAATGCCTTTTTTATTATTATTGCCTTTATTAATTAATGCCTATATACACATACATGGAAGAATATTCAGGACATTTTTCAAAAGGAATTGCAAATTGTATTTTCAATTATGTTTTCCACATGTGGACGCATAAATTGTGACAATCCAAATTAGAGCGACCGATATGGGTTTTTTGGGGGCCGATACCGATATTAGGGAGTAAAAAAGACTGATACCGATATATTGGCCGATATTCTTTATGTGTAGGCTATATTATAGTACAGTATATTCCAAATTTTGACTGGTACTGTATATAGAATACAGTACTGTATATATATTTTCAAGGTACTTTGAGGTAGTTGAACTCTTTGAATTTTAGGGTCAAATGTGTCCTAGACATGTTTTTGTGAGTACATCTACCTCAAAGTAGCTTGAAATAGCTGTTAACTATTTATTACCTAAATAAATCAAGGGCTCACCTCAGGATGGACAGCTGTGCAGCCCGATCCGCTCTGTGCTGGTCCATGAGGCGGATGAGGTCCTGGAAGGTGTCTCTGCTGCGTGTTACCTCGCTTCTCTCTTCCTCCAGCTGGGAGGCGTCGTCACAGAGCAGCTGCTCCAGGGTCAGTATAACATCTTTAGTGGCTGGCATTTCCTTCAGACTCACCACCAACATCTTCAGCTCTGTGTCCTTAAAGTCATGCTCATCTTGAGACTCTACAGAGGCGAACAGAGCTGCGTGTGACTTCAAATGAGGTACTAACACGTGTAATCCAAGTCAAGAATGAATGTGCATTGCTTTATAAACATACTGTTTATTACAGGAGTGTAGAAATCAGTGTGTTGGAGATGACTATATATTTTAACCCAATGTCTTTACAAACGCAGGGCTTTTTAAAAGCACCTAAAAGAAGTTCAATTTGGCAAGCAGTTAAAATAACGCATGATGGTACCTTTTTTCTCCAGTTTGTGAACCATGGAGATGTGGTTGAGGGCGATAATAGCCAGCATGCTGTGTTGATTCTGAGCAGAAAGGCACTTCTTTAGCGTGGTACTGACATTGCAGGCGACTAGCTGCTCTGCCAGGCTCTTGTGGCTGGAAATCAGCATGATGATGATCAGCAGCCCGTTCCGCACGGACAAACCGCAACTGCTTAAACCACAGTAGAAAAATGAATGTGAATTCAGCAAACAAAGATGCTACATCTAAAGCAGACTTCAAGCTTCTTACCCTGCCGTGCTGAACATGAGGTCAATAGCAGAAGGGATGGTACACAGGAGCCCTTTGGAGCCTTCAGGTGTAGCAGAGCCTATGCTCGCAAAAATCTCTAGCATCATCTGAGTGCCAGACTCAGAAAGGGGCAGACAGCCACCTACACTGCGAGGGTCATGTTTACTGGCACCTGTGATAACCTTCAGAGTCTGGAGAAAGCAATTCATTTTTATTTCAATAGCATCCTTCAAATGTACACTTGAAATGTACTGACAAAATTATTTAAAAAAGGATTTGAATTGTAAAGAATGCAATAATTCTGGCCCCAATTCTAGTTAACAATACTTAACACATGGGCATCCTTAGGGACAATTTTGTCTTTATTTATTTTTAAACGAAAAACTGACTAAATCATAGTTTGTATACACATTTTTTTCAGAAATGTAATATATGGAATTTTAATATTTCACCCTCATTTACTTTCATAAATCTATTTTACACTAGTAACAAAAAAACAGTTACACTCAGGACATTAAGGACAAAAACGTCCCTATTAAAACCACAATATTTAATCTCCGTGCCATTTAAGCAAAAAGTGATTTACTCGCAATGTAGAAGATTGCTGCACAAAAAAAAATAATGCATCAAAATTAAGGTTGTTGTTAATCATTGACATATTCAGGACTATAATAATCCAAATGCTTAGCATTTAGTATACAGAAAATAATATTTTTTTTGTGTGGCATTAAGTGCACAAACTGGCATTTAAAGGGTTAAAATCTTGAAAATGAATAAATTTTTGGAAGTTATGATCAGGACTGATGTTGATAAAAATATCTATGCCAGTGAAAGTGGAAAAAATATAATATAATATTTATATGACCATTTTAATGGACATTCTTGACCTCCAAGGACCTCATTGTAACTTTTTTAAATTGACGCACAGTGGTTAAAGTCCCCCTGTAGTGAAAATCAAGTTTATGTTGTTTGTTTATGTGCTTTTTTAAATTTGCTTTTAGACAAACCATGTGCCAATCCAGTAATCAACACCATTGCTGAGTATTTTCTCAAAACTGCAGTTTCCCAAAGTCTCAGAAATGCAGTTTGAAACAGCCCTCGGTTTGCTACGTTGCAAAATTCAATAACCAATCACGTCAAGAGATAAATTCCGATCATTAGCACATCCCTCTCTCCATTTAGACAAACACGGCGTGCATAGAGATCGCATGCAAAATATACCAGCATTACCAGCACAAAATCAAAAATAAAATAGAGCAAAACCCCATGAAGCCGTGGTTTAACGCGAATTTAGAACCGCTAACTTAAATAATAACCCACGGCAACAGTGTAAAAGTAGCCCGGAGTCAGACCCACCTCTCCTGCATTGGCGTCCGCACTTCACACGCATTGCTCGCGGGCGCGAATTAAAGTACCCCTATTATGCCATTTTTAAGGTTGCTAATATTGTTTTATGAGTCTCCTAAAACAGGTTTACATGCATGCAAAGTAAAACACGTTAGTTTTCTCAAAAAAATTTATTTAATTTTACCTAATTTCTAAATGATTCGTAAACGACTTGTGCGAAGCAGTTCAAAGAATCAGTCTCTCTAAACCCTTCCTTTCCATGAGCCCTCACTGCTGTGATTGGTCAGATGGCGCAGTCCTTTGTGATTGGTCCAGAGCCATAGAGAGATTGGCTCTGGATTGGTCTACCGCGTACAGCGCGTGTTAGAAACCGCCATTGCCATGACAGAATGACAGCCCTGGGGACTTGTCAATACATAGAAAAAATGGTATGGATTATACCTTACCAATTTGAGCCGGAGTCTGATGATGAAACGGTTGAACTGGCTGATCGACAAGAGACTGATTCGCAAGCACGACTGGAGCAGGACGTTTCTCAGTGTTAAGTGTTAACAAGTTTGTGGTAATAAGACGTAATAAAACAAATTTACTCTCACAGCGTAGAGGATACAGCGTCTTCTCAACATGATGTTAACCACACGGGAATTTTAATGTTTGTGGGGGCGGGCAAGTTGGCAATGTAGAACGTGGGCAGACATTATGCAAATGTGTTACTTCGTGACGTAGAGCCGTAACAGAATAAGATTCAAATTCCTGACGACCCGTTTAGGCGATTGCGAGCAGACTCTTTTTTTTGATAGACAATAACTTTATTTATCGTGCACTGTCGGCTTCACAACTTTGCAGATAGTTTATGTTCACATACAGCTACATGACTCACTGCATGAAAGGTAACATTCGAAAAGGCATAATAGGGGCACTTTAAGAATCACAAACTTTGCTGCATTCGAGTCTTCAAGGCATGTTGAGGACACAACATCGTCAAGTAAGTAACTTTAACGAATGTTACAGCATCCACTGTAGTTGTCGGCTAGTAAAAAACAGTTTTATCCGTCATTATCTGTGAATCAGGAGACCATGGCTGGTGTGACTGAGTGGAGGCGGGGCTAATTTGCGTATTCATAGATCCGCGTATAGTAAATGAGGTAAGGGTGTAGAGTTACTATTAAAGCTATTTTAAGGCATGAAAAATTATTTTCACAAGAAAAAACATTTAAATATGTAATTTTGATGATCAAAGATGCGTTTTAAGGGATATGGGGGACTTTAAGAAGGGACATGTTTGACTACAGGGGGACTTTAAGAAGTCAATTAACATGTCTTTTCTTATTGAGAGAGTCTAAATTTCTTTCTTTCTTTTTACTTTTTTAAACAGCAACCCTCATACTTGACCAAAAACAATTATGATGTTCATTAATGTTCTAATCACACTGATTCAGTAACTTTGGTTTTATATGACTGGATGAACAGTGAAATTCTGGACAGGAGAAACTCATAAACCTCATGCCCTTGAAGACATAAGAATTCAGTTCACAGAAATCCTCACTCACCGCCAGCGCAATCTGCTGCACCTGTATACAGGTAGGATACTCCTGCATGCAGCTCAGGATGGCTTTAACACCCCCCTCTGTGGCGAATGAGACCCTCCACTCGTATTTCAGCATTAGACTGCGGGTCAGCAGCACCGCAGTGACGGCGTTCTGCTTGGGCTGACTGCCAATCATCTCCACCAACATCTTTAAGACTTTGTCACTGAAAAAGACAAGAAAGTTATTTTAAAACCATTTGCAAAACAAACTACAAATCATGTTCCTTTACGGTACTTTAGGGCTGCACAAAGTTTAAATGGTAGATCACGATTATTGACTTTTTTACATTTCATCAGAATTATTGCATTTAAACAAGCACAAATCAAGAGAACGCTCACTTGCATGGTTTGCTCACAGATTTAGTCAGCAAACAACCACATGAAAGAAAACAGACTGTTTGCACAGAACGTATCAATAGAGATCGCTAAATTCTAAACGACAAGTTTGCAGGCGTTTTCAGCTCATCAGTGCTTTTTCCATAATGTAGAGAGTGTCTATGCACTAGGGCTGTCAAAATGGCTGAAAAACTAAATTTGAATTTTGTACTTAAATATTATCAAAATTTGAATTATATTCGAATTTAAAATGCATAATTTCAGTTAGGGTGAAGGAAAGCTTTTGGTTTCTCTTCTGAGGCCACAAGAGGGCACATCATTCAAAGCATAAGATAACATGACTATCTGCGAAAAAAAGTGCATAATGTTTAAAATAATGTTTACAAACCAATTATAAATAAGTTTCTTAAACTATAAACAAAACAGCATCATGTATGTATGCATAGTTTAATACAAAGGGCGGAAAGCCAATCACACAGAGTACATTTTTCATTTAAAAACATGAGATGCAGTGGGATGGGGGAAAACTCGACAAAGTCTCGATATATGTTTTTTTCCAAAGTTAAACTTGCATTAATTTTACATGGCTTTCTAAAGATTTCTTTTGTGCGAGACGCGAGTGTAACAGTAATAGATGTCCATCTAGAAAATGTGTGAAATATGCATTCTGTGTGAACGGCTTGGTTTCGGTTTTGATGTAAACCAGATCTTCTCCGCATTGATGTTCTCTTTTTCCGCAATATTTTAATGAACAACGCAGCAGCACCGCATCTAGTGGCTTAAACTGGATAGGCTAACAAAAACATTATAATACAACGACACTTACATCGTCATCGCATCTCGTGCACCGCTGATAAGGCTGCCTCCATAACGCGCACCTAAAAGTCGAATGCAACGTTTTTGCATTCGAATGTGGATTTTTAATTTTAAATTCGACGAATATTCGAAATTCACATTTTTTTTGACAGCCCTACTATGCACATAGTTTCCAGGTTAGGAAGATTAAGTAAACCACTAGGCAGATAATGCATTGATTTAAGAAAAAAAACTCTGATTGGGGTTTAAACTCTGATTAAACGCTTGAAATAAGGCAACCATGAAAACTTGCGGAGGCTTGTTACCAATGCAAGATAATGCAAATGCCAAATTATAATGAAATGTTTCAGGATAAATAACCAGTGGACAAATAAAATCGTGATTACTATTAAAATTCAATTCACCTTGCAGCCATAATTTTTTTTAAAATATAACCTAGTAATCATGTAACGGTTACATTTTATTTTAAGGTGTCCTTGTTACGGTGTAATTACACATTTCAGTACAGAGTAATATTATTTTAAATACATGTACTTACTATATGGTTAGGGTTACTTGCAGGTAACATTTACTTTTTATGGAACGTAATGTGTAATACAGGCTGGACTATTGCAATGCTCTCTTGGCAGGTCTTCCAGCCACTTCTATTAAATCTCTACAATTAATCCAAAATGCCGCTGCAAGATTAATCTTTAATGAGCCGAAAAGAACGCATGTCACACCTCTGTTCATCAATTTGCACTGGCTACCAGTAGCTGCTCGCATTAAATTCAAGGCATTAATGTTTGCCAACAAAACCACCACTGGCTCTATACCCATTTACCTAAATTCATTACTTCAGAGTTATGTGCCCTCTAGAAGCTTGCGTTCTGCAAGTGAATGACGTTTGCATGTGCATGCATTGCATGTAGGCAAAGGCAACTCTTTTCACAGACTGTTTCTATAGTTATTAAAAGTGTAAATCTAGCAAAGGCTTTTTTAATATATATTTTTTTAAGATTAAATGGATAGTTCACCCAAAAAAGATTAATTACTCACCCTCATGTTGTTTCTAACCTCCGTTCATCTTCGGAACACAAATTAAGATATTTTTGATGAATTCTGAGAGCTCTCTGACTAGGGCTGGGTATCGAGATCGATACTTTTTAGGCACTGACCGAATTGCCTCGATATCATCGAGTATCGAAAAATGTCTCGTCATTCGGTACCAAATTTCGATACCTAAGGGGTTCATCTCATCAGCGCCAGTGAGCCAATAAGCCTGCAGCACTAGCCAGTGTGTTCGACTAGAAGAGGTGCAGAGCAGATCGATCATCCGCGAGAGTGATTCGAAAGCGCACGGAGCAGTCTGCTTTCTTTAGCTCTCGTGGTACTGTAATACACCAATCGGTCTGCACAGTCGGTCCGCGTCAAGTCGAACACACCTACTAGTTTACACCGGTTACACAAAATTTATATCACGATATATTTCTTCATTTCGGTCGATACGATATAATTCCGATATCGATATGAACACTATTTATCTGAATTCGAAATCTTTTGTAACAGGGCTTATTTAAAATGAAAACTCATTCTCTGCCAGCAGGAGGCGCTTTTAGAGTGATACAACTGGTAATGTATATCGAAATATCGGAAATGTGTTTAAAAATCATATCACCGTTATTGAAAAAAATTATATCGCGATACATATTGATATCGAATTATTGTCCAGCCCTACGTGAGACTGTAGTGTGAATGCGTCCCAGTCCCCTTAGATGTAAGGATACATTTACACTGGTGCGTTTATCTTTTAAAATGAAAACGATCCTCGTCATACTGGTGTTTCCACTGCGTTTCAAGCCCGCTTGGCTTTCCACTATCTCCGACAAATGACAAGCGACAGACCAGTCATTCATTTCCAATGGAGAGTAGCGCGGGAGCTGCGTGGACTTCCGATCATATGCAGATGTCCGTTCATACTAACGTTACACGACCGAAAGCGCGTGTTATGTGACCATTCATGCAAACTGTAGCATCATGCTACATAAGACAATAAATAATATTTATATTCCTCTTTTACTCAAAACTCACTTTAAACCAACATCGAGTGTTTGTAATAACTTCCGATTGCCGTCTAACAGGGCCGGATTTACGCATAGGCATTCTAGGCACGTGCCTATGTTCGCTCGTCCAGGGGGGGCCCAAACACAATGAAACACAAACTCTCAGCTGCTCTCAGAATTCATAAAAAATATCATAATTTGTATTCCGAAGATGAACGGTGGTCTTATGGGTTTAGAACGACATGAGGGTGAGTAATTAATGACAGAATTTAAATTTTTTGGTGAACTAACCCTTTAAATGCACATCTATAACACAATGTTGTGTGTTATATTACTTATAACTTCTGCTTCTAAAACCCCCAGAAATTTGGAAAGGGTCCGTCGATAAACAGAGTGATCTACGATTGGTATATGTTTTCTTAGCCCCTGTAACATTGATGTTTAAATTAAAGTGTTAGTTCACTCAAAAATTAAAATTAGCCCATGAATTTCTCACCCTCAAGGCATCCTAGGTGTATATGACTTTCTTCTTTCAGACGAATCCAGTCGGAGTTATATAAAAAATTGTCTTTGATCTTCCAAGCTGTTTAATGGCAGTCAGCAGGTGTTGCAGTTCATCAGTCCAAAAGAAGTGAAATAAAGCGCATACATCCATAATCCATAGTACCTCACATGGCTCCGGGGGGGGGTGAACAAAGGCCTTTTAAAATCATTACATTTTAAATTATACCATATTTAAAATGTAATAATCAATTTAATCTAGCTTGCGCTCACTGTTGTACACGGAAGCAGCTCCGGGAGGATGACGTATGAGATCGGCATTGCGCATGTGCCGCTCAGAAGTGACGAACGCAGAAGCGCAGGGGAGAGATCAAAACAAAACAATGGTCACTAATTAGAAGTACAAAACGAGGATTTGTAAAGAAGAAAGTCGGAGGATTTCGATATAAGCCTGTAAACAAATGTTGGTTTTCACGAGACTCACTGGCGCATGCGCAACGCCGACATCTTACGTCATCCTCCCGGAGCTGCTTCCGTGTACAACTGTTGGCGCAAGCTAGATTAAAGTGATTATTACATTATGAATATGGATATTTTTCCTTTGTTCACCCCCCGGAAGCCATGTGAGGCACTTTTTATTATGGATGGATGCGCTTTATTTCACTTCTTTTGGACTGATGCAGTGCAACATCCGCTGACTGCCATTAAACAGCTTGGAAGATCAAAGATACTTTTTAATATAACTCCTACTGGATTCATCTGAAAGAAGGAAGTCATATACGCCTAGGATGGCTTGAGGGCGAGTAAATAATGGGCTAATTTTCATTTTTGGGTCAACTAACCCTTTAAGCGTAATTCAGAAAGACATTCAATTGCAGTTATTGAAATCAACATAAGAAAACGCCGAGCTGAGAGTAGACAGTGAGTCTCACCGAATGGTTTGTGCTGAATCTGATCTGAGGGTGCTTCTCTCCTGAGGTCCCTCCTCCTCCTGAATCTTACTGATGACCTTCATACCAGCCAGCTGCAGTCCTGAGTCTGAGCTGCTCTTCTTCATGATGTCCACCACCTCCCCCATCTTCTCTATGGAGCTCTTCTTACCCTGCACCTTCGGACTGTTGAACACTGCAGAGAACAGAAAACACTTGCTTAGAGGAAGAAATGTACATCTACTTGCTCTAAACACTTCGCTGCTTTTATCGAATAACCAATTTTACAAAAAAACTGATGGCTCGATAAAATATATGTTGCTGGATGGATGTGGCTGTATTTTGTTCAGAGAGTTTTACAAAACTCAGAATAGCAATTAGCATGAAAAATTCTTTAACTGGACACATACTATTATTATTATTTTTTTAAGACTTATCATGTCTGATAAATCATCTGCTAACCGTCTGCTGAATTTACACATGGAGGCACTATTCTTAGCACTGGTCAGGATGGATCCATCACAGTTTTTTTTTTTATTATTAAATGCAACACTTTCTCACTGTGAAGTGTAAAGGCAGTTGCAAATGGTTAACAATATTTAAGGAAGACAGACTATTTTCAATTCAGTATGCAAATATAACTATGCAAATATCAGTCATTATCAAAGTCAATAGAATCAAATCCTGAGAACTGAAATGCTGCCCAGTGGACGATTCAAACACCCCATATGAAGAACACTTATTAGCTACATTACAAACAGTTATCAGCCAAAACCTTTTGCTGCCTAATGCTCAGAACACATTCTGTGAAATGCATCACTTCCTGTTGCAGAGGGGAAAAATCTAGTGCATCAATAATCATGTCATTCAGCAAAAGTCATGTTGGATAAAAGTATCGGTTAAATGAATGAATGCAAATGTACAAGTGCAAAATTCTGTGTCATTTTTTCTTGATTCTGTTTTCTGATTTAATACAAATATATCAAAATTGACCAATTCCTTAATTTTTTTGGCAAACAAAGCACTGCACAACTACTGTTTAAATTAAACCGTGAACTAAAAATGATGTGAAAATGGCTTGAAAATGTTTTAAACACCATGCTGGATTACGTGCAGTAGACAAAACTACGCCACTCGTTCACACAGACATGCATATTTCCTATTTAAATAGCAGTCTATGCAGTTTAATATTTACAGACACTAGTCCATATCGATCTGATTATGTGTGCAGCCCTACTTCTGATTTATTCATCCTAAACGTTGCCAAATTCTGTATTATACTATAAATTCCATTTTTATGACTGGATTCCACAATTCTGCATGCAGTTTGTAGAAATCATACAGCCCTACCAATATAAACATGCACATCGGTGATGGCAATCAGCTGAACTCAGCCTAACAACACTCCTTTAAAGACAAGTTCTTGTTTGCTCAGCAAATATAGCATTATGAACAAAACAAGGAGTTCCACTAACAGTCACATCCACAGGAGAGCAGCAACATGTATAAAACAAAGGCTTGCCTTTCATCTTCTCCTCCAGGTCATCAGGATACTTTGTGTCATCTTCAGTGGGAAGTTCACTCTCGGTCTCGCTGCCCGTGTCTGCTGGGATCTCTTTCTTAGCTTTCTTGGACACAGAGCCCATGGTGGAGGAAGAGGCTGAGGAAGAGGACGATGCCGTAGCTGAGGACAACGATGAAGATGATGAAGCTCCTTGGCCTCCGAGCGAGCTATCCATCAGCATTTCCTCGTCCTCGAGGCCAGCACCTCCACAGTTCAGGTAGTGCTTGGTGAAAGTGTGGGAGCAGAGCAGGTCACCCAGACAAGACGCCTGCAAATTCTGTTTCAGGTAGTGGAGGACTTTCCGCGCCACTTCACTCGAGAGGGACAGCTGGATGAGAGTCGACTCGTCAAGCTCTACCATCTGAAAGATACCAGGAGAGAGAGGAAAAGATAACATGAATAATCCCAAACATGCTCGTTTAGTAGAGGGAATTAGTCATTGCCTAGTTCATTTGGAGCATGTAGATTGACATTGCCAATGTGAGGAGATATATTCTTCATATTTTTTTTCTGTCAATGTCAAATATTAATACTGATATCTAAGTAACAGGGTGGCCAATGACCATAATAATACAAATAAATATTTCAAATAATTTATACTAGGGATGCACAATATTGGATTTTGCCGATATCCAATATGCCGATATTTTTCAACTCATTTTGGCCGATACCGATATATTTCCTTTTGTTTGGAAACAACACCAAGTCTCGAAACTTTGAAAATTATAAATAAACTATATATCAATCACTGCATTTTTATCCCCAGAAAGATGCAGTGTTAACCCTAACATTTTATTTTAAGATTTAACATTTGTAGATGGTCTAAAGCAAGAGTTCTGAAATTTTCAAATTCTGAAAATATTTTAGAGCTTATGCTATCACTGTTTACTCTATCATACACCGAACGCGTCATTCTGTATGTGCTAGGGTGGCCAATGACCATAATAATACAAATAAATATTTCAAATAATTTATACTAGGGATGCACAATATTGGATTTTGCCGATATCCAATATGCCGATATTTTTCAACTCATTTTGGCCGATACCGATATATTTCCTTTTGTTTGGAAACAACACCAAGTCTCGAAACTTTGAAAATTATAAATAAACTATATATCAATCACTGCATTTTTATCCCCAGAAAGATGCAGTGTTAACCCTAACATTTTATTTTAAGATTTAACATTTGTAGATGGTCTAAAGCAAAAGAGTTCTGAAATTTTCAAATTCTGAAAATATTTTAGAGTTTATGCTATCACTGTTTACTCTATCATACACCGAACGCGTCATTCTGTATGTGCTTTCACAGATTAAATGCAGCGATCCAAAACAGTGAATCTAATCATCATTCAGACAAAACTTTGCTTGAAGAATGAGCCACACTGCTGACGTGATCTAATCACTTGCACACCCTGAGCACATGTGAGTTAATGTATTCCTTTAATCGGCAAGACGGATCTGCATAATGTTTCATATCCGGCCGATGTCGATATTTACATTTAAAGCCATTTTCGGCCGATTCTGATATCAGTCCGATAATATCGCAAATCCTAATTTATACAATATATAACAAACATTTGGGGTCAGTAAGAGTTTTTTTTTAACGTTCTGAAGGTCTCTTATGCTCAACAATACTGGATTAACTTGACAAAGTAAAAATGAAAAAGAAAAAAAAACAGTAAATACAATATTGTGAAATATAATTGTAATTCAAAAAACTATTTTCTACGTTGTTAATATATCTTAAAATATAATTTCATCCTTTGATCCAAAGCTGAATTTTCAGCCATTACTCAGTCTTCCTGCTGCTTCATGCATGCTTCAATGCTGATTCGAGGTCGTTTTATTTTCTATTTGCAACGCTTACCAAAAATTTTAACGTGTCTACAAAGAGATGTGTGATTTTTAGCAATAGATATTATAAACCATAGTAAATATGCAAAATAAATCACATTTAACTTAGGGCTGGTAATCTAACATGTTACTTAGATGAATTAAGGTGAAAATGAATGCCCCGCCCCATACCTACGTGGGTCATCTGACATTTCATACAGCTGATTGATGACAAACATGAGGCAGGGCAACAACTCACTGCGTGATGGAGCCTAGAGAATGTAGTTAGAATGTCCCTACAATTCAAGATAGGGGGCAAAAATGCCTGTTTGAGATTTTGTCTCATATTTACATTTTATACAACAGTTCAGTAAGAAAGAAGTTAATATTGTATTATTTTAGACACAATGATGCTGTCTGTTTTGCTCAGTGTTGCCAACGGAAATATAAAGACAAAGCAGAACTGTTCGTCTCCAAGCAACACACAGCGGCATTTCATTTCTTAATGCACATTTTGAACGAATTGGGTGAACCATTTGGCGTGTTGAACCATTGGCCATATGCGGGTTGGATTTGAAGCGACGCTGCACAGACCGATCGGTGTGACATCAAAGTACCGCGAGAGCGATTCAAAAGCATGCAGAGCTGTCTGTTCTCTATAGCTCTTGCGGTACTTTGATGTCACACTTCGATCGATCTGATGGTGATGATCCGCTTCAAGTCAAACAAGCCTAATGATTCAATGGACCATTCATAAAGAACCATTTACTTGTCCTGAATGAATCAGCCATTTGAACGAATCAAATGAATGAATAAATGACTCAATGACTTAATCATTAAGACATTTACCACCACCTACTGGCAGTTTTAGTTTATTATTTAGAGTATAATTTCATTAAAGAAATTATTTCATATTTCCATAATAATAATAATAAAATTAATAAGATTAAAGGTATAGTTCACCCACCCAGAAATGGCCCCTCATGGTCCAAAAGAGTACAGTAATTATTAAGAGTAATTTTTTTTTTGTAATTTATTTCAAAGAGTGAAACTTTCATATATTCTAGATTAGGGCTGGGCGATAATTCGATAACAATAATTATCGCGATATAATTTTCCTCGATAAAACGATAAGAAGAGTTCGATAAATGTTCGATATAACGTTTATGCGCCAAAAGCGACACGAAACAGAGTGACACATTTGAATCGCACCACACGGACCATTTATCCGCTCAGACCAATGTTCAAAACGGCCGCGCGGTGCAAGCTCACTAGAGTAGATGCGTTTACTCAGTCACGTGAGCTCTAAGCAGCGCTGTGAGATCCAGTGTGAAGCGCTTGAACTCAGCGAGGAACACAAATGACTGTGATTTAAACTAGTTTAATGGCAAACAGGAGAAACACTGTGTGCAACGAACGAGACCATCAGAAGGCTTTTCAATCTACACATCGCCATCATTTACCATGGATTTACTGTAGTAACATTCACTGCACAATGGTATTGTGGCACAAATGTGGGATATTCACATTGAATTTTATTACAGGAGTAATGGTATATAATTATAGTTATACATGTGTGCATTTATACTGAATGTTTTTAGACTACTGTTTTTCATACAGGCTACTTAACCAGATAGTTATATTTTTACCATGGTATTGAGGTGCTATATGTGTGGTTTTAACATGATTTAAATGTATGCTACTATGGAAGACCAATGCTTACTTAAAAAAAAGAAAAAAAAGAAAACTAAAACGGTCAGAATAAATGTAACCATATAAAACTGAGGTTGCTACAATTTTTACAGATGTTACTGATTTTGATAATGAACAAAAATTTACCTCTGCATCCTAACTCAAGCTACTATCAAATGTGCATTTCTAAGAGACAAAAATGTGATATTAATATTATCAGGCAACCCAAACCTGTTTCTTGATTTGAAACAATATTACTCATTAGAACACGCAGAAACTAAGAAATAAATTTTTCTATTTAGATATTTATTTTAAGGAAAATTAATGGTCTGGTTTCTACAACGTTCACTGTGGAGCAAAAATCTGGCTTTAAACTCGAAAGAAATAAAGATTATCGTGATAATTATCGATATCGACTGATATGAAAAAAATTATCGTGATCATTTTTTTGGCCATATCGCCCAGCCCTATTCTAGATTCATTACATGTAAAGTAAAACATTTCAAAAGTTTTTGTGTTTTAATTTTGATGATTAGAGCTTACAGCTCATGAAAGTCAAAAATCCAGTATCTCAAAATATTAGAATATTTCCTAAGATCAATCAAAAAAATAAAAAGGTTTTGCAAAACAGAAAAGTTCAAGTTCTTTAAATTATGTTAATTTATGCACTCAATACTTGGTCGGGCTCCTTTAGCACAAATGACAGCATCAGTGGGGTGGGGAATATGAAAGCGATCAGCCTGTGGCACTGCTGAGGGACTATTGAGCCTTCAGCTCATCTGTATTGTTGGGTCAACCGTTTCTCCTCTTTCTCTTGAAAATATCCCAAAGATTCCATATGGGGTTCAGGTCAGGCATGTTGACTGGCCAATCAAGCACAGTAATATCACGGTCAGAAAAACACTTGGAAGCTTGTCAGCAGATGGAGGCATAAAGTGCTCCAAAATCTCCTGGTAGATGGCTGCATTGACTTTGGACTTGATAAAACACAATGGACCAACACCAGCAGACGTCACAGAACCCCAAATCATCACTGACTTCGGAAACTTCACACTGGGTAGGGATTGTCATTTAATGAAACTCAAATGTAAATATTCTAATAATTTTGATACTGGATTTTTGACTAAGCTCTAATCATCAAAATTAAAACAAAAAAACTTGAAATGTTTTACTTTACAATAGAATATACAATCTAGAATATGAAAGTTTCACTTTTTGAAAAAAAAAAAAACTTCACAATTCTAATTTTTTTAGATGCACCTGCATATGTAAAAAAAATTATAATCAAAGAAAATATTTCTTGCTGAAGCTACTTTTTGATGCTTTACACAACAATGACTTTAAATTAACTTTTGGGAGTAATTTCTCAGCCAAATTTGATGTGCGAATAATTTGCGATTAATTAGATTAATAAATCGCCAAATCATGTAATTAATTAGATTAAAAATTGTAATCGCGTACCAGCTCTAATTTAACTACAAAAGGGGAAAACCTATGCAGGCTTAGGTTGCAAATGCATCCTAAATTAAGCTGCCAGCGAACAGATGCTAGCTAGCTTGGGATCAAATGTTGGTTGGTTTGTTACTGGTAAACTTATATTTTATTTACATTTGCGTATATGGTAGATGCTTTTACATAAAGTGACTTGTATTGAATTCAAGGATGCATTTATGTCAGTGCTATTAAATTAAAGTTCTGGTCCGGTCTCTATATTATTTCCTTCCAAGTGGAGGTCTAGATAATACTTTTTTGAAATAGTTATATATTTCCATCTGGGCAGCAGTAGTACTTTGCAAAAGAAAAACAATCCAAAACAGTCAAAATAGTCAAAGATGAGGATATTACAGGGCCAAAGCAGTGGTTTTTGAGTAGTTTTCTACAAAACAAATTAAAATATTTCATTATTCATTATTCATATTAGGCTACCATTAATTTTGTTTAAATACCCATTTGTTTATTTTATTTATAGAGCACAATTAAAACAACGCAAGGTTGACCAATGTGCTGTACAATCACTAAGGGTAAAATAAACTAACAACAGCTAATAAAAATGAGACCAACATCTCAGAAAGGACAAAAAGTAAAAATAAGCAAATAAAACAAACATCAATGGAGAAAACGAAAGCCACTTTGTAAGATCAATCTGTTGAGCCTAAAGTTAACTGTAATAAATATAGTATCAAATTTCTTTTAAAAGAGCCCAAAGAAGGTGAAAGTCTAAGATATTAAGGCAAACTATTCTAACGCTTTGGGGCCACCACTGAAAATGCACGGTTAACACTCAATTTTAATCTTGTCCTAGGTAGGTTTAAAATCATCTGGTTGGATGACCTTAGATTCCTTTGGGGTTTGTGTACATGTAAAAGATCAGTTAAATAAGAGAGTGCCAAATTGTGTAAAACTGTATATACCAAGAAAAGTAATTTAAAATCGACCCTGTAATAAATTGGAAGCCAATGTAAAGTAGCTAAAATAGGTGTTATATGCTGGCGTTTATCTATGTATGGCAGAAGGCCATGTGGTGGTGTAAAGTTACTGTATGGGGGTTCAGGGTTTCCCTCTTGAAGTCTAGACCATTATTGTATTTGATTACAATACATATCTACAAAAAAAACTATGTACAATCAAACTGCTCTCATCATGAGCAGAAAACAAATTCAGTTAGTAATTTCAAAGTCTTTTCTTGCCATCTACAATTTTTTTTTTCCAATTATAATTGTTTATTATGAAATGCTTTTAACAGGCTGATTAATAATGCTTGTCATTAAAAAAGTAGTCACAAACTTGGTTTATTTGTGTTTGCTGCATTTTCATTTTCTGCAGTGTTTTAGTGAAAGTATCAAATTCTGCTACTGGTGTTAAAATAACTGTGATATCTATTTTAGCGCCTCACGTCTTTAGAGGGCGAGAGAAGCAACAAACACAGAGCGGAAAGGGCTTGAAAGGTTTTGGTTTTATATAAAAAAATTAGAGGATATAACTTGTGTTGTGTACAGCTTGATTGTTTTGACACTGACGCTGCTCACTTTAAAGGGTTACTCCACCCAAAAATGAAAATTCTTAATTACTCGCCCTCATGTCGTTCCAAACCCGTAAGACCTCCGTTCATCTTCGGAACACAAAAAAATATTTTTGATGCATTCTGAGAGCTCTCTGACCCTCCCATAGACCGCAATGTAAGTAACCCAATCAACATGCAGAAACGTAGCAAGGAGATCGGTAAAATAATCCATGTGACATCAGGGGATCAACCGTAATTTTACGAAGCTACGAGAAAACTTTTTGTACGCAAAGAACATTGCTGTCTATGGGAGGGTCAGAGAGCTCTCAGAATGCATTAAAAATATCTTAATTTGTGTTCCGAAGATGAAAGGAGGTCTTACGGGTTTAGAACGACATTAGGGTGAGTAATTAATGACAGAATTTTCATTTTGGGGTTGAGTAATCCTTTAAACTAGAAAGTGTAAAATGGTCATCCTGTGTCTGCTGTCTGACAAAGCATCTTGTCGTCTAGCATCCAAACACTATATAAACGCACACAATTCCTGTCTATATATACACCTGTCTATTCAAGAGCTCAGTCATTCACATATTACATAAACAACAGGTCAATGTTCAATGAATAATCAAATGTACATATGCATACCAGTTGAAATTCCCCAGAAACTATTTAAGGACGGGGACAGAATAATTTCTAGATTTATTTGGAATAGTAAAAGACCACTGATTAAATTTAATGTTCTACAATTAGCAAAAGAAAAAGGAGGAAGGTCCCTGCCATGCCTGCAAGACTACTATATTGCTGCCAACTGAGAAATTTGGTGTGTTGCTGTGATTTTACCTATACTGCCAATTGGAAACAATTGGAAATCTTGCAAAGCCCAATTCCAGTTTAGTCACTTTTAGGTGATAATCAATTTAAGGAGATATCTGAAAACATAACTCAGTGGACAAAATGTGGTTTAGATTTATGGTATAAATTGATGAAAAAGTTCAAACTAGAGCATCAGATGAGAATATTAAGTTGGATAGTTATGATTCTCCGTTCTACCCTGCTCAGATGGATAAATGTTATTATTTCAATAATAACTGCTTACTGTTCTATTATATCAAAGGGGGAAATTCAGGATTTTCTGAATTTAATGATCAAATTTGGTCTGGAGAAACAGGATTTTTATAGATTTTGACAAGTTAGACACTATTATGATATGAAAATCAGAAGAGTAACAAATGATTATTCCTCTTTGATAAATGTTTATTAAAGTGTATAATACTATGTATACTGTATAGTATTATACACTTTAATAAACATTTATCAAAGGGGAATAATCATTAATAATCATGTATTATAATATGTATAATCTGCTAAATGACTAAATGTAAATGTAATACAAATACTTGTGAAAAATTATTAATATCTGGTTCATTTACCTGCATTCAAGATATTAGAGGCCATTCTACTGAGTATATCCAAGAAAAGTGGGAAAAGGAAATGCAAATGTGTAATCCAGCTGAAGAATGGCGGAACTTATGGCATTCACAGTGTGTGGACTAATCAGTCAAGGGCTCTAAGGGAATTTTGTTGGAAAAATACAATTAGTTTCTTTATTATGCCCAAAGTGAAAGCAAAACAAAAACGAATGACAAATCAGGGCTCCTGTTGGAGGCAGTGTGGGACATTATTGGCTGATCATGTACATGTCTTCTGGACTTGTCCAGTCTTGAATTTGTTTTGGTCAGAAATAAATTCTAGCATAGAGGAAATGTTGGAAATTGAGATTGAAAAAACAGCTTATAGGCTATTCTATTTCTTGGCCACATACCTGATTCTGTTAAGAAAAGGAATAAATATTTACTCCGGATTCTACTAGCAGCAGCAAAAAAAATGATTACTCGTCTATGGAATATATATATATATGTGGAATATGTATATTATTCATTAATGTAAATGTATGTAACTAGGATCAACGGCTGCTTGATAGTACGCCTACAGAAATTAGTATTATGTTTATGAATGTATGACCACAAATATTCACGTATACATTGTAGTGTCTGGACCAATCAAACAAACAATATATATTTTGTTAGCTATATTTAACAAATACTCTGTAACACCCCTCAGTTAACAAGCCATATGAGGAGGACCTATGGACCCTTCCCCCGAAAAGCGTAACACCCCAGGAAAGCCGAACAGGCCCCTGGTCCCCATGGCAACTAATGCTGATACTAGTTCTTATGCTTCCTGTCACTGTTTGAGATAAGACTGCAATCTAGCGGTCGAGATATATATATATATATACCGATATTGTGTTTTTGAGAATCGATACAGTATCGCCAAACAAAATATTGTGATATTCACGTGTATCGATATTTTCTTACACCCCTACTTTTAATAACTGGTAAATTAAGTGAGAATTCAACCCAAAAATTAGGTTTACACCGTTTGCGTATTACAGGTTTGCATAAAATTTATTGTTTTCCATTGTGCATTTTTGTGTTTTTATGCACGTAAGAGGAGAAAAGATCTGCTGCAGAAAACAGCATCTGATTTCTATATTTAAGCAGCATAAACATGAATGTAATTCAAACTGATAGTTTAAACCATTAAATTTTTTTTCTTATCCTTAAATGACCTAGGATATGCATTACCACATTTTGGCTGTTTTTATTTAATAAAAATAATTTAATGATATGACAGCAGATCACAATGCAATTATCTGTCCAAAGTAAAGAAGTGTGGAATTACTGCCATATTTTGTCAGTGCTGGTAAACCATACATAACCTAAAGTTCTTCAGTGTCTACTAGGGTTGCACGATTAATCGAATGTGATTGTCATGAGCATTTTGTCAGTAAAGTCGGTTCCATGATTAGTAGTAAAGCTCCAGCACGTGCTTTCAGATGGAGCACCATTTACTACACCGAGTCGTAGTTCACTAACAAAGAAACCCAAAATCGCGTTTATAATCACAGACGATTTAATCGCGTTATAATGAAACCGAAGATATCGTTCTGCGATAATGAAAGCTGTTTGCGCAGCTTCTCAGTGAAATATGGCTCTGTGTAGTAAATGCTGCTCCATCTGAAAGCACATGAAAATACCACATTTAATAACATGTTTTTACTCCAAACTCACTTTATAATGTCAGTTGAGTGTTTGAAATAAATCCTTCTGTGAGATGTGGCTTCTTACACAGAATAAGACACGTAACATATTTCATAGTATTCTAAGCAGTGATAAAGGCATTGCGTTATTATATACTTTATTATAAGGAAAATTATAATAAGAAGAACTCTGATAAACCATATATTGTCATAGACGTGTATTTATTAGTCAAACTGAATCAATGAAAGCATTTAAATCTTCTGTTTATTCAGCTGCAGCGATAGGGATTTCCTAGATTTCTTCTGCAGGGCATATTTGGAGTTTCAGCGCGAGAGCGCCCTCTGGCCTTTGGATGGAGATTTACTACTGATCACACAACAGTGCTTCACTGACAAGATGCGCATGACAATCGCAGCTTTTGCGATTTCATTTCGATTTATCGTGCAGCCCTAAAATGAGAGCAGCATATAAAGTGTTTGGTACTGAGCTCCATGAATGCACACAGCACTAACCTGCACCGGCGGCGAGCCGTCGTTACTGTAACGAAACTCTCCTTCATCCCCGGCGCTGACCTCCTCATAGTCCTCCAGCATACGGACCATCATGCCACTCTTCAGGTTGTCCTGCACATACTCCACATAAGCTGAACGAGAAGTGAAGTCAGAACGCGTCTTGAAACCGTTTGCCGTTTTCTTCTTCTTTGGTGGCGTGACCGCAGCCATTGCTGTAGTGGCCATGAAGGAAGACGAAGCTGAGAAGCGCGGCTGAAAGATGGAGCGGACGGTGTGTTTCTGGATTTCGTTATTTATTTCCACAACCCCTATGCTTGGGCTTGTGGAGGTCAGGGGCAGCTGCCGGTTGCGGTCCCAGCCCATGACGCGCACCAGCTCTGAGATGAGGTTGGCCATGGCCATGGTGAACTCGAACTCCCGCTGCACACGAGCGTGCTCTGATTGGCAAGCTGCTGTGGAGGAGGAGGGGCCAACATCCTGACGCTCAGAGGTGGACTCCACCCCTGCCGTGTTCAGCTTGTCCATCAATGAAGTGACGCACAAGTAACGCTTCACCAGAGAGAAAAGCAGCTTGCCTGGAATCTACAACAGACAAACAAATTCTTAATTTCTTACACAAAAACATTTGTACAGTGTCAATGACAAATAGAGTCCAAGCAACAGATCTTAGAAATGTAATCTTTGGATATAAATTTCAAATCGGTGTTATTTTAGCATCTATTATTTTAGATACGATTATAGCTTTTCTATTTTTGTATTTTCCATTTTTTTATTTGGTTAACATAAAATGTCATTTTTGTCATTTTTTAGTCATCACTTTTTTTAATGTCTATATAGCTTTTATTAAATTTAATAATTTATTTGAATATTAATTTTAGTTATTTTAAATGAAAATGAGAAATGTTGCTTTGGAAACTAGCTGAAATTAAATAATTTGTTAAGTTTTCTTATATCTAATATTTTAAGTTAAATATAATAAGAATTATTCAAACAAAAATGCTTCACTGCTTGTTTTAAGAAATAATAATGAAATATGATGCCAAACTACTTTTCAATTTCCTCCCACAGAGGACTTTTCTTCTCTTATAATATCGACATTTTAAATTTTCACAACTAAATCACGTTTTTAACTTCTCATTTTTAATTAAGATAATTAATGTATGAATTGCAGTTTAAGTATTTTTAAATTAAAGGGTTAAGTTCACCCAAAAATGAAAATTCTGTCATTAATTACGACATGAGGGTGAGTAATTAATTATATAATTTTCCTTTTAGGGTGAACTATCCCTTTAAAAAAATTAGGGATGCACCGAAATGAAAATTCTTGGCCGAAGCCGAACAAAATGAAACACTGGGCCGAAGGCCGAATACTGAACACAGTTTTTCGAATTTACCCCCCCCCATGTAGGCCTATTTTGCCTTTTTTTCCCACCATTGCATAAATTAAATAGCCAAAATGTGCTTTTTACTGTTTTGTCCTGCTTTTCAAAAAAAAAAAAATCAATTACAAAACTACTATTTATATTATATAATATTTACTTAATACTGAACTTTTTTTTTAACATTCTAGACATTATACCAGCTAAGCACGATTTAACTTAAAATTAATAAGTTAGTAAAAAAAAATTTTGGCCATTTTTGAGACTTGAATCAGGCATGTATTTTTACTGTACAAATAAAGGCAGCCTTGCTGAGCAGAAAAATTATTATTTCAAAACATTAGAATATATTACAGATCCCAATTTGAACACTATGTGTGAATGTTATAATAAATGATTTAATAATCAATTAATAATTAGGTAATTATTATTATCATTATTATAGTCTTACTTTTTATTTTATTTTAAAGAACAACAGTAAAATTACAATACTATCATATATGAATGTTGATGGAGTTGTTGCTTTTTCTCGGCTTTTACTTTGGCAGAAACCAGCAGGAAGATCTCAGTGCTTCTTTTTGTTGACAACAGCATGCAGATTTATGATTACGAATTTAGGAAGATGTTTGTCGCACGTATTACATTGTCACATGTAGGGGTGTGCGATATATATCGTCTGCGATAATATCAAAATTGTTGTTTTAACGATGTGCGATTTGACATTATCGAGTATTTTGCAAAAACCATTCAAAACATCCCTACAGAGCGCACACATACATTACGTGAAGCCTAGACTAGTGCGTGTGTGCATTTAGTGTGTTTTCTTTCACTGCATGATTCAGTCTATTAAAATGCATTTAGAATTATAACAAATTCAAGACATGATGGCAGAAAATGTATATATTTATACCACTTCATATAGTTATTCAATTTCACACGAAGAGTGCCGTTTTTCTCCAAAAATTACCATGATTACAAATGTGACATTGAACTCAATAAACAATAAGTTAATTAAGAGTTGGTGTCTTACGTTTTAGACACCATATTGCTTGTTTTTGCTCTATTTCGCCAACAAAAATTATCCCGAATACAGCCACAGTGCTGTTTTGTGTCTCTGAGCAACATGCCGGCATTTCGTTCTTGAATGAATCAACCGTTTAAATGATTTGGTTCAATCGCAATGACTCCCTTATTAACAGTGATTTGCTGCCACCTGCTGGCGGTTTTAATTTCACATTTCGGCTTTTTCTTTTTTTTATAGATTTTTTTCATGTTTTAAATCATTTCAAATATCGGTATTCAATGTTTTATGTTTAATATATCAAAACATTATTTATGCATTTGTAATTGCAGGTTAAATGCATTAATGTCCTGCATTAAATAAAATACAGGTGTGTAAATACATCTAAATGCCACTTCAGATGCAGCTTCTGTGTTGATTTAATTTGCTTGGTAAGAGCCCAAATGTCTTATTATTCTAATTCCCTGATTAAATGTAAGAATTTGACTCAAAAGATAATGGAAACTTCTAGAAAAAATGTAAAAGGTAAAAATGCCAATAAAATGTAAAAATCTGTTTAAACATATTGGAAAAGATTCATTTCTTTCAGTATGAACTGACCACCACACAGAATATGAAGAATATTAAAAACATTAGGAGTCAGCTGTCTTCGGCAGTCCTTAAGATACCAGCACAATAACACACTCAGCAAAATTTCGTCTAATTATCGTCATCGATAAAATCCCAGAAAATATAGAGATATTATTTTTTGTCAATATCGCACACCCCTAGTCACATGCCTTTAAAAAAAAATTCACAAAAATGTTACTGAGCAACTGACGAGTAACACAGTTTCACGCTTTGGACTTTGAACCCTGGCGCCGCGAGCTCGTGCAGCGCTGTCAGAATACATGCAATTTGTGCGTGCATTAGAAAATATAACATTCTGCATTTTATTTACTAGTTTGAGGCCATTTTGCGATTTCAATCATCATACAGTAGATGAGTGAATTCAATAAGATTTCACCACTGTTGGTCACAATAATTAGGCTTGTCTAATTCTACATATTAGCATTTCATCGAGAGGCTTGATTGTTTGACTGGTGTTAAGCAACTGGATAGAAGCTATGATGCAAAACATATTAGACAAATAAGACAAAACATTCACTTCACCCACAGCAAAATGCACTGACCAGGTCAGCAACTTTTGTGCTGATCCTTCACTATTCTTAGAAAGCACTTTCTGCAAATCATCCAGTCAAAATGCATTCATCTACTTTCTGCTGAAGTGTGAAACGTACAGTACAGAATAATGTAGTTATGCTACTTAAAGTTTTACTACATTCAACTAATCATAGTAATTTGGATGTTAAAATACGATCTCCTAAACCAGTTTAACATGCAGTGTCAACTATAAGGAAATAAAAAAGTGCAAACACTGTGGTGCTATCTAAACATTGCGCTGTTTGTCTGAGCGGCTGGTCTATCGTGCCAAATTCTTTTTACAACCAATGGCAGACAAAAACCGGTTTCAAAATAATCACAATTCAGTTTACACCGTGGTAGTTATTTTTTGTTTGAATATTCAAATATCTCAATACTTTTGAATTTGCTTTGAAATGGTTAACGAGAGGAACTTTTTTTTCTATGTTGCTTCATTTTATATTGCCAGCAAATTTAAATGCAAAAATATTGAGGTGTTTTTAATATTCTATAAATCTAGATATAATATAATGTAACTGTCATAATGTACCATATGCTTTTATATATTATGTCTGTATTTACAGAATATTCAAACACCTAAATACTTTTGCTTTTTTTGTATACATTCAAATACTTTTGAATTTTCTTTGAAATGGGTATAAAAAAATATATTCAAAAATATTGAGGTGCTTGAATATTCCAAATAAATAATATATATATATTTTTTTTACTAAAATACTTTTGAATTTGCTTTTAATAGGTAACAAGGTTTATATTCTATGGTTTGGTATCGGGGCATTTTAACGAGTACGAGTACAGGAGACCAGTATCGGGCCCGATACCGATACCAGTATCGGTGCATCCCTAAATTTTAGGCATGACAAAAGAGCTCAATCAAACATATGTTGAAAAATACACAGTGTTATCTCATCTAGTCCTGAAGGGTCCTAAATAGGGCTGTGACGGTGGCAGATTTTTACCACCTTGGTGGTAATGGACCAACTACCGACGGTGGCGCAGTGTTGAGATATATATATAAGATCCCCAGAGAGTTCTTTGCCAAGAGGTGCCATGTTGAACTTCCAGTGACCAGTATGAGAGAGTGAGAGCGATAACACCAAATTTAACACCTGCTCCCCATTCACACCTGAGACCTTGTAACACTAATGAGTCACATGACACCGGGGAGAGAAAATAGCTAATTGGGCCCAATTTGGACATTTTCACTCAGGGGTGTACTCACTTTTGTGGCCAGCGGTTTAGACATTAATGGCTGTGTGTCGAGTAATTTTGAGGGGACAGCAAATTTACACTGTTATACAAGCTGTACACTCACTACTTTACATTGTAGCAAAGTGTCATTTCTTCAGTGTTGTCACATGAAAAGATATAAAAATATTTACAAAAATGTGAGGGGTGTACTCACTTCCGCGAGCGTGGAAACAGTACTGTGCTCGAAGCGCGTGCTCTTCAATTCGCACGCTGTAGCCTGTATCCTTTCATATCAAAGCATGAAATAAAATACACGCATGCAATGCCGTGGTCAGTTAAGTCATGAAGTTACCAAAAAGGCGATTAAAGCTGCCTTAAAACTGTGCATGCATGTAATACATTTTATATGAGTCACATTTAAGAACATGTTTCTGAAATGGTTTTCAAAATTGTCCAGGAGCAGCCCAGCACTGTCTCACTCATCTAACACACCCGATTTAACTCGTCAGCTTGTGTTTATTTGAGCATTTCAGTCAGTGAATACGCAGCCTGCAAAACACTAAAATAAATATCAAAAAAATAATACAGTTAAACAAGAAAGTAGCCTAAATAAGAAAGTTAAAAACACCCTGTCTACAGGACGTGGTGCGACAGAATACTATAAAACTCATTATAATCAGTGATGCTACACTGGATGCGGCATGACATGGCATGACATATCCCCGACAGTAAACTGCCTCGTTCTATTTATGAGGTACTCACACAGAGTTCAAATGTCCTGTGT